TGATGCACCAAAACATAATTTAATATAGCAACACTGGAACTAAAATTACTGGAACACAAAATCATTACGGAATTTAAAAAGGGCTTGTTTGATCGACTACACAACATAACACATCGAGAATATCTACCTAAAGGAAGGATTACCTTAATTGAGAGCTTTCTAAGGAAAACTGGATATATTGATACACTACCCATAATTAAAATCACGAGATCTATATAGCCAGTCCATTCGTTGATACTGTATTTTTACTTTTATTTTTAAAACGAAACCTTCATATTAGATACGTATTTGTTAACATAAAGCTACATCATAAAAGGTATTCAAATATATCTAACTTTTTATGATTTCAAAGCTAAAATGCTGAAGTTTTAATGATAAAACATTAAAATCTTAATTTGAAAGAAAAAGGTAATCGAATCACTAAACTATTATCAGTTTACATATTTTGACATTCTTATGATACCAAGCAACTGACTGGAACATGAACAATCGATCCATCAAGGGAAGTTGAAAATGACGTAAAAAATTGCACATTTTTGAAATTAAATATACCGGTCAACTGTTAATGTACGGAAGTCAAACTTCTAATTTTTTTTATTTTTTTTTTATTTTTTTATTTTTTTTTTTTTTAACAAATATAAAACTTTCCTAAATATAAGAACCAGGGGACCGCATTAAAATTTAGAGTTCGTTCGAAAATTAATTATTCTTAAAAACATGAATATTTTAGTCATTTAAAATACTTCTATAATTGGAAGTATAAGGTATATAGCATCTAGTACTATTCGCACCATCGATTGCGAAAATCAACACCGGGTAAGAATTCTCAATTTTCTGTATTGGTGCTAGGGGAGGACGGGTGGGAGACTGTCGGATCCATCCTCCTAGGTGCTGTTCTTGAAAAGTGAGGTGTACGGGTAAAGACTTCGTATAAGGAAGCAAAAATATCTGATGTAAACAACACATGACTTCTCTATACGGCCTTATTGAATTATACAAATTTTTTCTTGCACTTCATTTAAACTTATTGCCTCGAATTTCATTAGAGATATGTTTCTCATTCGATCAATTCAGTTCTCATTTCGCGGGAAGGCAAAAGTACATGAAAACTAAAACCATCTTCATTAAAATTTGTAGGGAAACCTAAAACACCAAATACAGTTAAAGACAGTTAAAAAATATGATTTTAACAATTAAAATTAAACTTTCTACGAAAAAATAAGCAATCGCATTCTCTTACTCGGCTAAGTGAGCTCGGGTTTTTATTTTTATATGTCGGTAAATTGTGCCTCTTTTGCTTTAAAAGTGATTGAATTATGTTGTTCTTATCTTCCGGTTAAGATTTTTATGCCTTTAATTAACCTTCATGTAATATTTGTAGAATTATCAACAATTTAAAAGTTGTTTAAGTGCCTAATTTAGTACTGGCTAAGTATCTAATTGGCTAAGCCTAATTTGTTTACCACAGATGCTATATTTGTTTACGTTTGTCAATTAATTCTTTCTGTACCTTCACTGTATTTTGCTAAGTGAGAGCAAAAGGAAACTTTTAGTTTTGTGCACAGAAAAATCTGCCTTCTTGCCTGTTGGCTGAATTGCTTGTTTTTGCGTAGAAACTCTAATTTTAGTTGCAAAAATTGCTTTTTTTTTTTTTAATTGTTTTAACTCTGGTGTTTTATGTTTTTCTATATCTTTCAATTTGTAATGGAAATATTTTGAGGTTTTATGTATTTTTGCCTTGCTGCAGAGTAAGAACTGAATTAATTGAATGAGAAACATATCTGTAATGAAATTCGGGGAAATAAGTTTACATGAAATGCAGGAAAAAATCCGTATAATTTAATATTCCTTACAAGGCAGTCATGTGGTGTACACATAATGTTTTAAAAAAAGTTTTATACTCTGAGGTTAATTATTCTTCGAGTGCGATAACCTCAAGTGATTAGATAAATCTGGTTGCGTAAATTGCAGTAAATTTCAGACTTTATAATCTTATTGGGTTACAACATGACAATCAGAATTGATAAAGATCAAATTTCTTTGCTGTGATAGCAGATAAATAAATCATTGGAAAAAGATGGGAGGATGAAACTTAAATTTTAAAGTAGTAAAAGACTCATAACACTTTAAAAGTTCGTGATTTCGTTAGTTAATGAGCTAAACGTGTTCACGAGGAAACAGATATGGATACATAACTGAGTAGTCGTCTTCAAACTTAATTAACTTAGATAACCTTTAACATTGTTTTGTTGACTCCAAGCACCCATAAAAACTGTTTAAAAGTACGTATTTCTGTAGTAGTAGAATGTCTACAGAAAAGCAAATATTAAAAAACCTGTTTTCGGCACAATGTGACTTCTTTATACGGTCTATTAAATTATACACACTTTTAGCTGCACTTTATTTAAACTTCTTTCCTCGAATTATTCTAACATAAGTAACTGATCCTTCAAGGAAAGTTGAAAATGATATCAAAAATTGCCAACTTTTTAAATTAGATATCTCAGTTAATTTTAGTCGTACGGGGGTCAAACATCCTATAATTTTACGTTTTCATAACGAGTGTAAAACTTTCTCAAATATAGTAACAGGGAGACCGCATTAAAAGTCAGATTTTGTTATTTGCCTAGATTATTTTCCTTAAATTTTACGTTGCCCAAACATGAATTAGAAGTTATTTAAAACACTTCTATTATTAAAAGTACTATATTACTACAACCAATGATTGCGAAAATAAAGGTCGGGTAAGGACTTTTATGCCGAGTAAGTAGGCGCATATATAAACACGCACCAAATATATATATATATATAGAGAGAGAGAGAGAGAGAGAGAGAGACAAAAAAAAAAAAAAAAAAAAGTAAGAAATTTAGGCCTTAATTCACAAAGACAATGAAAAATAAAATCAAAACGAGTAAAAACTTCAAAATTTCCCAATAAAAAACAGCAGCTAATTATTTTTAAACCAGAAGAATTTCCAAAAACAATAAAAAAAAAAACTCTTTAAACAAGCAATATTCCAATTCAATAATTGGGGTATTGCTTGTTTGGTATTAGCATTTAATAAATTCTTTATCAAAATTTATTCATTTAGTTGTATGATCTTAAATTCATTTAGTGCGAAAACAAGTTACTACTACTTGCGCAACTGCTGCAAAGTAAGTTAATAATAATTTATTTACTAAATAATATTGCTTAGTTGATTATATTATCTCCTAAGTTTAATTAAAGTAGACATTAAAATTAATCATGCGATCTAATGTTACCCTTAATGCAGATACGTTAGATCACCAAATTGTAAATCAAAACTAAGAAACTGAAACTTTTAACTTCCTCCCTTCTTTCTATGAACTGATGCGTCACTTTTTGTTTGTGCTTTCCCCTTTGCCAGATGCTAAAATTGTAAATGCTCCTTAATAGGAACGAGTAGAGTGCCAAGTAATTTTGGCTAAAAAATGTGAATTTAAATAAGAAAGGAATTTTATCCAGCTCGACTGTTTCTTTTTCAAAATGGATGGACGCTCTAAGCATCAAGTATCTATGCAATTAGTATTTCTACGCATCTACGTATCAGTGTTCTTATTTCAGTGCCTCCAAAATTGTTCTGTCATTACATTTCTTCGGCCAGTTCTAATTATGAAAAAATCTACACGAGTTTGTTAAACTATATTCATAGTGATTTAAGGAAAAAGTCCTGTTTCATCGAAAATTTTAATGGAAGTTTGTACGGCGTTCACGATCAAACCATTCATGTCGTGTCATCGAACCACAGTTTCATTACATATTGTATATATATGTACACACACACGTATATATACATATATATACGCACGTATATATACACACGTATATACGTGTATACACACGTATATATGTGTATATACGTGTGTGTATATAAGTGTATATATATACATGTATATATATACACACACATACGTGTTTATATACATATATATATATACACACACGTTTGGTGCCGCCAATTACAATTAAAAAAGGAGGTGTATAACTACATGTCATAACAGCCCCCATATACAAAATTTCAACCTTCTGAGGCTATTCCTTTTGAGTTGTGCGAGGTGCGTACAGGCTTCAAGGAAAAAAGTCTCTTCTAAATCCATTTTGCAATCCGTGTTGGAAAAAAAAAAAAAAAAAAGAGTCCTTTATTCTCTCCATATTCCAGGCGTTATGCAACGAAATTGTCCAAACTGATTTGGGAACTCTCAACATGGATATTTCCGTTGAAATTTGATACCCAAAAGTTTTAGCGATTACAATACGTCGTTTACTTAGTACAAGAAAGTAAAAAGCATTGTAAATACGTCAGCGTTACGTGTATTTTATGCGTGAAAGTGAAAGGCAAATCATTATTTCGTTATGCTACTAAAACGGTTCTAGTACTTCATCTTATTTTAAATAACAAATAATAGAAAACAAAAAATGTTTAATTAGTTATTTTTACACATTTAGTTTTGCAATCAGCGTGATATTCAACAGTTCTTTTGAATTTTGATTTTGACTTGAGGAAATTATGAAGAAGTTGGTTAGAATTCCAGAATTTCGTGGAAAAGACCACAATAATATTGTAAGCAGGATTTAGTTTCTAAAAGTGGAAGCACCAGAACCCTATGGAAAGCCATTAGTAAAAGTAAATAAAAACAAATAAAGATGCAATAGTTGAAAGTAAATGAAGTGTAACGAAGTAAAAAAAATAACAAATAAAATTAAGACGCATAGTGAAAAAATAAATAAAAATGCATGAGTTCACCTTATATAGGACTCCAACTTGGTTCATTAAAAAACTGAGAAACAATTTAAAAAATTTAAAAACGACTGAGAAGTGCTAAAGCTAATGCTCCGGTGGGTCCCTATTGAAATTAATCTTTCAATTTAAAAATTCTGAATGCATATTTCATATTCATTATCGATGACTGTAACTGAATAAATGTTTAATCGATATCAGTAAGCGAATGAAATGTTGCTTTTTATAACCGGATCTTCGTCAAACAGGAAGATTCGAGAAATCCGAGTATTCGAATCCGTAATTTCAGAGATCGTCTTCTTCTTGTAGTGTCGTAGACTTCAGAGATATGAAGGCAATAATGTTATTTTTCTGTAAGTAAAATTTTATTATTAATTAAATATTCATTTACTACTCATGAAAAGATATTTTTTTGAGTATTTAATGAAGTAGATTTTAAGAAATATTTCCCCCCTCTCAGCTTAACAGTGATATTAACTTTTTAATAGCTCCTTTTCAAAAACTTTAAGCTTCATTGTATTAAAACCAAAACATAACAAATTGATTAGAAGTTTCACAACACATATAATAAAAATATGATTATCTGTTTATAAATGACAGCAAATATTGTTGCTAAGTCGTTGAATACCTAAAAACAATTCTGGATTATAATTATAATTTGCAACTTAGTTAATTAATAACATTGTAAATTAAAAAAAAATTAAAAAATATCAAAGGAAATAGTTTAGTTTAATAAATAGTTTAGTTAGCTAAAATCTCAGCTTGTCAGCAAATTGAAATTAATTTGATGAAGGACACAGTTTGTTGTTTTTAACTCTTAAACTAGGATTTAAACGAAAGTCCGGATTCGAAATTTTGAGTTTAGTATGTTTAATTTCTTATGCCTATTTGAAAAAAGGTATAATAATAATAATAATAATAATAATAATAATATATAATAATAATAAATCATAATTAAGTAATCTAAACACAAATTAATTAATTAATTAAAATTAAAAACTAATTCAAAAATAAAGTATTCAAATAACCGTTTAGATCCAGTTTGCTTTTAAGAAACAGTTTAATTTTTAGAAAAAGAGGGAAATCCTTGAAATTATAGAAATGAGTTTACAGAGACACAGTTTATGAGATGTATATTATTTTTACTAATAACTATTAATCCAAAGGGGCTTTGTCCCTGAGGGACTATTGTTTTCGTTTTGTGATTTTGCGTCGAATCACTCTGAATGTCCGTTTTACTTTTCAAACTGTTGCCACCAAATATTATCGCCTTGTATTATATTTGAAGAAATTAAATAATGAAGAATCTGCATAAATGCATGTATTTTTGTTGCATTGTGATAAAACAACTGTATCTAGAGCCATCTGAAAGCCTAACTTTGAAATTTGGAATTTGTTTTATCATCGATTTCATATTTTGAAAAATTTTAACGAATTTTTGATTAACAAACTAAACGATTTCAAAGCGAGCAATGTAAGCACAAAAACTGTGCTGTCTGTAAATAATTGAGTTCAATAAAAGGACCTTTCACGCCCTTTCCCTGTTGTATTCATGTTCTATTGTTAGCGATAAGTCGCTAACAGGCTTTCAAGGAGGTCTAATACCAATTATGCTAGCTAAGAATGCTAGATTTTAAAAGTTATTATAAGATTAATATCAAGAGCAATGGTGATAACGAATGTCCTAATGGCATAACGAATGTAGTCCGTTACTGGCTGATGTTTGTTTATACAAAACGCTTGGTAAAGTAATAATTTTAATACAAGGCCAGACCCAAATTTCAGAACATTACAAAACCGAGGACTTTGGAAATGCCAGCAAGGTAATAATTTATTAGTTATAAAATATCACATACCTAACAGGTTTTCTCTGCAGTTTAGCCTGATCCTTTCACTGGAGAGGAGGAACTCAGGCTGTTGTTGACTTTCTTACACATCTGATTTTAGTTCTTTGGGAAATCCAGATTGAAGACATTGTTACATAGAAGTTACTTCTTTTCTTTCAGTGGGCTCTTGGTTGCTATTATTAGTTTCATTAAAAGATCTGTCACTCTATTCATACTTCACCTCGATTACGATGCATTCTTTTACTCGTAGTTTGCACCTTTTTTAAAAAATTCTTTCGTGACTGTAGTAGGCTTAGACTTTTTGTGTTGTCCTTCTACTCACTAAAAGAAACTTCGTCTGCGCTTCCTGACGTTAATGCTTTAGAAAAACTTAAAATTCTTCAGTGGTAATATATGATTAAGAAATAAGTTTACTTGCCCACGCCTCTATTTATTGCATTTATGCTTTAAACTCATTTTCTATATTGACACGTTGCCAAGCACAAAGAAAACCAAACTTAGCTAAGTTAGTGCCATTAGTAGAGTAAAGAAACTATGTTAGTTCCCATGTATTTTAAGCAATAACACTTTTCGATGAATTTTTACCTAGCGTTCAAAATCATTCGAAGGAACATCATGTGAACTTCTTTTGAGCCTCTCTCTATTCGAGTGTAGATTTTTACGCGAATCTGAGGTTTCTTATTCTACTTTATGCGAAAAAGAACGAATTAGTTTCACTGTGGTAACGACCATCTCCTTAAGATAATCACTTTAAAAAAGTAATCAGTATTTCTGAGAACTTAAATAAACCATGCTACTGAACTTAACCCTCTCAAAGACATCCTTTAACACTGAAGATCAAAATCGCGTGGAAGATCGTCTTAGAGATCATGAACTCGTAGGAGATCGTTTTAGAGAGGATTATAATTTTCTTTCAGATGTAGTCTCTTTCCATGATAAACCACGATACATCATTGAGTTTTGCATTTAATGTATTGAGAGTATATTGCATTATTTATATGCTGCTCGTTAATACAGTACAGAGTTCGTTATACAGTAGCATTTTTCGGTTCATGCTTACATTCGTTAACGTGGGACTTTCATGTGCGAGACGACACTGTGCGTTTCTAGATGTAGGGAAGCAATTTCATTATTACACTTTTGCTTGATTTATTGCTCTTACAACAGACCTACTACAGAAGATGCATAACTTTTTTTTCCTTTGTCCAATGACCAGACACTCGTTAGCGAACAGTTTGTTGGAAATGACCGAATTCATCCCTCATTCAGGCGCCTTATTACCGAGAACATTGCCACAGATACATAACAGAGAGAAGACAGATATCGCACTCGCAACCAGAGGAGAAACAACCAAGCCTTATATGTGAGTACCTTGGAATTCAGACTAGTAGTTAGCTTCTATAAATAATCCTTATATATTCAGAGTGATAATTGCATAGACTACTTTTTAATATTTTGTTAATCGAATTCCTTTTTCCGCTTCCTTTTATTAATATCAATCACTGTTTCTTACCTCGCTGCTAAACTTTTTCATAAAATATCCTGTATTAATTTTCCTAGAAGATGCTGACTCTAGTGAAAATCTCTAAACAGATCTTTTAATTTTTAAAGTGTTTTTTTTTTTTTTTTTTCTTATGAATCAAGCTAGCTCCGGATAAAGACACATGTAAATTAGCTATGTGAAGGAAAGGCTAGGGGAAAATATAAATAAAGGGCATTATTTTCAGTTTATAGTGATGGGAGGTATAACCATGATTATAAATACAAAATAATGCCCTTTATTTATGTTTTATTTATCTTTATTTATATTTTCTTTTCGATTTTAAGAGCACTGTTGTGTACTTATTCTAATCTTCCTCTCATTGTTAGTTTAAGTTTGAGCAAAGACTTCAGGAAGTAAGTGATGATTTCTAAACTTGTTACCAACAAATCAGGAGTAAAATAGTTTCAGGAGCTTGTATTAGATAGGTTTGATTTGATGCATTAGAAATTAAATTACACATTTAAACTGCATAGAGCAGATTCTGTTACATGTCTATTACGATTATTTGCTAAGCTTATAAGGTATTGCCTCTCTCTTTTCCGTATGCGTTCGTAGTGTAACTGGAAGCACACTCGACGCATATTCGGGAGGTCCAGAGTTTGAATCCCGGCAAGGGCTCTGCACATTTTCCCACGTCTCCAGCAACAAGAAACCTAATGACTATACAGAATCTGGTTATATTTCACAATAATTAACATCCAAAGTGTTAAATAGTTCATGGTGGTAAGTGAAAAAGCATGAAAGCAAGTAATTTATTACAATTTATTCAATAAATATCACTACACAGAACTGGAATATGGAAACGCGTTACATGCAACAGTCACAAGGGATGGAATAATGGGTAAAATTAGAGTTTCATTGTACTTTGTATTCTACAGATGGAGAAGAAATTTGGAAGGAAATTTTAACGGAAAAGTGCAGCTTTGAAAATTAAGAGGGAAGAGTTGAAGACATTCTGGTTGCGATGCCCTGTTGGTATAATTCTAGCCGTCAAGAAAGCCGGCTAACCTTCCTGCAAACTAGAGTGCGTGCTACTAATGTGGATTCCCGCCTGTGTATGTCATCTTTATGCTTGCCTGAACACATGCATATTTCTACAAGATCACTGATTAATATTGAATGTATTTGTGTTATTTTTCACAATGAGGGAAAACTATTTCAACATTAAAATTTGGGTACTTTTCTGTTATCGAGACCGGATTCAGAAATGTATGTATGAGTGCACATGGGTATGTATGTGTGTGCGTGTATGTATGCATGTATGTGCGTATATATATGTATGTGAGCATATGTGCATATGCAGAAATTTTCTCTGAATACGATTCGGTAACAACGTAAGAATATAAACGTAAGACAAGTGACAGCAGTGGTCCTCCCGTTTGGTTACGTCATTCAGAAAGTCTCTACAGAAGCTCTGTAGTAGGAAGTTACTATCGTGGAACGTGCACAACCAGGGAATCACTTTTAGTACTTTTAGGAACATAAAATTTGCCCACTCTCATAATTTCATTGCACATCCTGGCACAAGCGTTTGACATACGATTGGAGGGCTTTTCTTTCCTTAAAACTCTCAACCTCTGTGCAAGGCCAGGAAAAGACAGGGAGACATGCGAGGGAAAGACAGAACTGCATTCAGAACAAAATTAAAACAAAATTTATGTGTTAAAATTGGGGTTGATTTACATAAAAGATGGGCCGGAGTCCTTTTATAGAAGGCTCCCATGGACTTGTTTTTGAGAAATCTTCTGTAGACAGTGACCTTATTCTTGTTTTGGAGATTGAGTGTGGCAAGTTTCATAAAGATCGGAATTTATATATAAAAGACAAACAAACATTTTCATATGCATAGATTAGCAATAGCGCAAGGTTAATCAAATTCGTGACTAATTTTATGTGTTCTTTTCCTATGTTTTCAGTTTCTTTGTACTTATTGATGGGCAAAATGGAATGCAGATGGCAATTCCAGACGTCTCAAATCATACCACCTTCTGCTGCTACGTCTTCTGAAAACGGTTTCGCCAGATGTCAGTGTGGGAGCAATAAGATATTGGTTAACAAAACTTTGGATACGTACGTAAATTAAAAACTAGTCGTATTTTATCAGCTTATTTATATATTACGCTTATTCCTTTTTTTAACAATAGAAAAGTATCAAGTAGAATCAAGAAAGCCTGTGCTGTCCAGCAAAGAGCAGTTTTTCCCCTGCTTGGTCTCAAATTTTCAAATTTAAACCAATCAGCAAAAAAAAAAAAAAAAAAAAAAAAGGGGGGGGGTCCAATTATTTTTTATTCGAAATTTAATTACATATCACAGCTCTTTAAATATATTTTATATAATGCCATAATTATTTTCCGAAGCGAGAGATTTTAGAACTTCCAAATTATCACACGATAGTTTCGCATTAGAGCAAACTGAACACTGTCTTAAAACTAATCATCTATGTGCCATATGTTGCCAAGTTTATACCAATAAATTTCACACAAAATCATTTATCGACCAGTTGTACGGAAACTTACTGTCTTAAATACTGTTCTTTGGCTCGCTCAAAACAGTCTAGCAATTTTCGTCCCGTTCTAATTCTTCAGTCATGTAATACCAAGTCAAGACAAGATTTAAAATAAGCCTTTGCCTTTGTTGATCTTCAAATCAACACAATTTACGCAGCTCGTGTAACAGCAAAAATATCTGCTGCTTGTAGGATTAAATGTACAAAAAATTTAAAATGAAACATAAGCATTTAAAATATGATAGTCACAAGACAATGTCCCTCTTGAAGGTTTTGTTTAGGTCCTTGACTTACCCGAGCAAACATGTGTACAAAAGCTGTGTATGTATAGATGTATATGCATTATTTAAATAAATAAAATTTTAAATTTATTTTGCGAAAATTGTGATTCTTTGAAAACAAAGTCAAAGAAATTTGAAATTCTTAAAAAAACGTCATATCCGGCTGTGATTTTAATATAAGACATTTCAGGTCCGCGAAGAAAGGCTTTTCTTATCAACTACTCTGTTAGGATATTTTCTATTAAAATCAACAACAATTGTGTTACTTTGACGACGCAATTGACATAAGCATTTTAACTATCTGTATTCTAGTCGACTGCCCTTTTTCTTTATCTTAATGTCCTAAAGAAAAAAGCGATAACAACTGTTATGGTTGTCCACATGAGTTCCATGCATTTTTTTTTTTTTTCTTTTTTGCTATGTACGAAGACATGCTTACTTAAAATATAAGGGTTTTAAATTCATTTTAAATATTTTATCTATTTTAGGAGCACAGCTAAGCATATTTTTAAGAAATTAAGATTAAAAGGAAATGGCAGTGCAAATATTACCAGCTATCCAAACGAAGTGGACAGTTTCTTGGAAAACTGTGAGGCTTGTGAAATCAGTTTTATTGAGTGTAGGGGAAATCCTTTAAACAAGAGTGATTATTTCTGTATTAAAAGTAAGTTTGCCTTCTATCATATTAATATTAATTCCTTACTATTAGATGCATAATTTTTTGTTTTGTTTTTAAATCAAAGAAAAGAACTGTGAAATCAAAAGCAAAGTTATTTTGAAATACGTCTACTTTAAAAAAATAATCTTTCGTTTCTGGAAAAGTCTTCAAAGGAAGCACTTTGATTAATAGAGATTAGGTAGTGAAAATTCATTGTAATTCTTAACTTGTTTATGCATAGGGATTAGGGTATATATTGTTAAGATAATTAAATTATCATCATATTTGAGTTTTACTGCATACTAAACTCAGACATACATTTTATTAAATGTTGATAAACTTCTCGGAAATGCATTAATTATTCCAGTTTCTGATGGGTTGATATTGGCAAATCCATTTGTCAGAACAGGTGTATAGAATGGCACTGTGCCATCAAACTAGACGGGTTTTGCCAATGCAAAATATATAGGTCTTTCGTACCGTTTTCTTCATATATCCTCATATCCCCTGGGAATAGAGACTTAGGGATACACGCAAATTTTGTTATGGTACGCACTTAGTAAAATCTTTTTCCTAATGAGAAATCTACCAAGTGTTCCCAAATGACAATGAAATGACCAATCCGTACTACATGCGAGTTAATCTATAACAAACAATTGCATAGTTGTATGCAAGGCTAGCGCCACAGCCAGTGCAAGCGGCTTCACCTTGAGGGAAAAATTTTTGAAATTTAGGGAAGTATTGTATAACAGAATTTAGGATTTAAGGAGATTGCACCGAGCGGCGAAAAGCCAAGCACGAGCCCTTTCAGTATGATATGTTAAATGCATTATACATGAGGATTAACTGAGCATTCCTGTAACAAAGAAATAAATTTGCGAGAAATGGTATCAGAAATTGCTTATATAACCGCATCTATTTGGGAAATTAATCTCCTAACAGGTAACTTCTTAGTCTGCAGTCGTATCCAGATCATCAGATATTAAAATTATAATTCCTTTCAAACACTTTAATTTCTTTTTACGTATTAAGTATCCTGTACTCCGCATTAAGGTACACCAGTTGAAAGATTGATACTATATTCTTTTGCTGGAGAAGGCAGCGGGAACTACGAGATTTAACGACAAATAATGTATGTTTCAATGGGTATTATCATAGTTATAGTTTTTTAAAAAAAGTAATAGAATATTATTGGTTAATTCTCATCTTCTGTAATTATTTTATTGACGTAAACCAGCGTCACCCTGTTTTATAATTTCTCAATTTTTGTTGCCATGCTCATGTTAAGAATAATGTAGAATAATTGATAACCATATCTGTCCTACAGAGTTGCATGTTTCTCAAATCTCAAATCTCAAATCAAACATAGTTCAGTTTGCTTTATAAATGAAGCTAGCTATTCAACAGAAAATTCTTCAGCATGTGAGTGCATAATTCAAGCATGTGAGTGTTATTTGTCAAAAGGGAGGAGTGCTTTTGTGGAGGACTTTCTAGAGTGGTATCCAAGTTACACATTGGAAATTTGCAAAAATGCTCATGTAGCCAACCCTAACGATTGGAATCCACATCAGGTCAAACTATTAGTATTCAGTAACTTTACTGCTTGGCCACTGATGGGATCCAAATCAAACATATGTTTAATTATTAAAATGAGCTATTGAACAGAAAATTCTAAAAGAAACGATAATTACTTATCCAAAATATGTATCCTACAGAGTTAAATCTGTGTATGAATAATAATAATTTTAAAAAAGACAACTACAAATAAATAACCAGCTATAGATGTGGATATGTATTTCCAAAAGCAACACATTATTCTCGTGGTGTTAATATAAATTTAATTTAATATCTTTAATACTGTTATATTGTTCTAATTATTTTAATTATTATATCTTACAGATGTTGCTAGTTTTGACAATGCAGAGAACGGTAAGGATTTCTCCTATTCATTACCTTTTTAGAGCTTAGCTCTTGCATAATTTTGTTTAAATAATTTTTGAATACACTGGAGTGCCACTGAATTAGGATAGACAATATAATATAATATAGCGCTGCTGTCTCATTTTTGCTCATGTGAGGACACTGCCGTAATATATGTCTAGCTGGAAGTGTACTCCTATTTAAGCAATATTTAAACCCAACACAACGGGTAAAATTCACGATTGCGATAACGTAGACGGAGGACAGATAATAGGTAGTTGAAGCATAGGTCCTACAATTTTAGAAATATTTCGATAATTGGAGTTTACTGTTTCGCAGTATCAAGATTATGGCGAGAGTACACAAATATAGAGGAGGGAGACAAAACGAAAAAGCAAACGGGCAAACTGTTAGGGACAAGCCGTTTTGATTTATTGTGAATCATCGAAGAGTGAGCCATATTTTAAAAGCCAACGATGTTTACCAAACTTTAGCTCAGATGATCATTGAACTGAATTTAAGTTCCAGTCAGCAAAATAACTACGCTAGGTTCACATATTCGTAGACTTAAGAATGAAAAACCTATGAGATTACCGCTTCTTACTATATAAGCCATAGCGCTCAATACGTTGCATGGGCCTCAGAACACCGAGTCTGTACCATCAAAGAATGGAAGTGATTAGGACTAATCTATTTCTACTGCATCACGCTATGGCAGGAAATGGATGGAAATTGAGTGTACTAGCTGTACAGTCTTGCCTAGTCCTGGTTAACTATCACTTTGGTTCGAGGGGCACTACACTGAATTCTTGTTGCTGAAACGGTCATCAAGAAGCTTGAGCTTAGGTTCCATTGAACAACTTTAGTATACTCTAAAAAAAGGTTTGTAACAGCATTATCTAGATGGGAAATTCAAGATCTTTGGCACTCCATACCTTTAGAATAATTCCACAGAATTGTTAAATACGTATTTTCTCATGTGGCAGCAGACCAGTCAAGTCGCTAAAGCTCCAGGCAAACCGGTTGGTGCATAGGCGTTTTCGTGTTTTTCACCAAGCGTAACATGGACACAAGACAGTTTCCCTTTGAATGTCTTCCACGAAGGTATCCCCTTTTTAGGTAGATAGCCCTAGCATGCTTTGCCATAATCAAATAAACCAAACTAATCAAGTGGAAATATGACAGGTCTTATCAAGGCAAAAGGAGCAGTAATTCATTTATTGATCAGATATTTCTTAATTTAGTGACACTTCAGTGTCACAGTTTCAAAAAGTAGGTTGTAAGAGATGGGAGAAGCAAACTCTTCTCAATATGATACAGAAACAACCAAATACATTCACAAAATATAGGATGGTTATAAAAAACATTCTTGATACATGAACCCCTAAGGTATTGCCGTAATTTCGCCTAGTATTGCAGCCTTAAATTTGTTAACGGTCCACAACCTTTGTTAAGAGATTTTCGCTTTCATTTACACCATAGGAAGAAATTACAAATTACGTCGACCATTTCATGCCAGTATACGGTGACATATGCCAGTAGATGAACCAAGAAAAAAGTCTCTCAGATTTTGCTGTTGCTGTGTAGAGGGAATGCGGCTAATCTTATACCATCGCAGCACCTGCAGTGGTTCAGCGCTGATGAACACAAGCGGTACATCATATGCTTTTTTTAATTTATGTCATAAAAGTAGAACTGGCTCTTGAAATAAGTGGATTTGAACTCTACCATTTGCAGGTAGATAACTTTCGATAAACATACTGAAAAATGACATGCAGTATGGGCTAGTAGCTAGATCTATTTATAACACAGATAATAATAATTAGCCCAAACGGCGTTAGCCCAGAACTGCTCTTAATTCGTACAAGTAAAAAGAGCTTGGCTGTCTTAGTGATATTTTAGGCCAAAGGGGCAATTTGCCCGGAAGGAATATTAATTTCGTTTTGGCATTTTGCGTCGAAAACTTTAAAAGTCTAAATCATTTTGCAAACTGTTGCCATAAAATATTATCGTCCTATATGTAAAGAAATTAAATAAGGAAGAATCTGTATAAATGTATGTATATTTCTCCCACTGTGATAAAACAACGGTACCTAGAGCCATCCAATTTTGAATAACGTATGGGCATCTAGAAGTCCGAATATGGGCATCTAGAAGCCCAAATTTGGAATTTTTTTCATATTTTGTAAAACTTTAATGATTATTTAATTAACAAACTAAAAGATTGCAATGCGAGAAATGCTTATACTGTACCGAAAAAAAAAAAAAAAAAAAAAAAAAAATATTTATCTCCAGGGCGCGAGACCATGTACGAAGAACATGATGTTTAATAAAGACCATGTACGAAGAACATGATATTTAATAAATAAAGGTAACATACAAAACGTTAAAAAAACGCCCCTTTATGCGTAATGTAAAATCTGAAAGCTTTCAGATTTTTTTTTTCTTTAAAAAAAACTTTTTTTTTTTTTTTTTTTGTTAACTTCTTTTCATGAAGTAAATGAAGTATTGTAGTCTTAAAAAAATTCGGATTTTGGATTTCAGAGAAAGAATCCATGGTGAACGCTGCTGAACCAATTATGAATATCGTTTTGTGCGACGTCTGTACGTACGGACAGAATAAAGAGCTTTTTGCATAACTTCTGTATGCACGGATAGAATAAAGGCTATTTCAAAACGAATTGTAAAATGGATTTAAAATAGATTCAAAATAGATTTTTTCGTGTCGTCTGTATGTACGCATATATGTATGTATCACGCATAATTCAGAAACAATTAGCCGCATAACTTTGAAATTTTGTACATGCGACAGCTATAAAATCTAGCTGTGCAAAAATCTAATTGTTGTCCCTTTTTTATTGCAATTGGCAGTACCAAAAATGTGCGTATGTGTAAATGTGCGTATATATATGTCCACTTCATTTGTTCTTATTTAAAAGTAAATTTATTTTGGCAATTTTTTCACTAACTGCTGTATTTTAATTTTTTATAATTTTTACAATTTCAATTTCATTTTTTAATTTTATTTCTTTTTTGTTGCTAAATTTCTTTTACTTGTTAAGTTATAATTATTACTTTACAATATTTATTAGTTAAATCTAACAATTAACATTCAAATCACAGGACACTTTTTCACTTTCTTTGAATTTAGGTGAAGTCAATCATGTTAATCGCAGATTTAGGAGAATTTCTGATGATGGAGGCATTCATATTATAATCCCTATGCGTAAGATATAAACTTTTATTTTACATTACTATATTTATTATGTTTTATACATTTATTTTTTAATTATAAGTATCATTATTCTATGAGTAGTCTTGAGTTACACACATTTATTTTTATACAGTCAATGTGATGTTTAGTATAAGAAATTATGAGATTACATGATTCTTTCCCCAGAATGCAGCATACTTTGTATACAAGTATATCTTTGTTGTCTGCCGATTTCTTCATTTTATAAATTCTTATAAATATAACTTAATTTATAAAATTCTTAAAAAGTGTAACTCTGCTGATTCCAAGCATTGCTACATAGACATCATGTAGAGCTTCAAATAAATGATTCTTGCAAGCGATTGCAAAATAACTGTAATATTTGGTAAATCTGGCTTTGAATGAATAATAGGGCATCGGAACTGCTGGAGTTTCGAGTGGGCTTCATATTTCAGTTCTAAATTTCAGGATTTTGATTTTCGTATTAATTTTTGATTTGAATATGTTCTTTAATTTCTATACTTTGCTTTGCCCCCTCCCCCCTAAAAAGACATAATCAAAGTCCAATGAATCCAAAGAAGGAAAATTTGTTTTACATCCGTGGCAGAGAAATGCTTACTGTGAAGATTTTGCATTTTCCGTACATATTACATGTATAGAAAGGCATTCATTAATATAGCATCCAGAAAAGGCATGTCTGATACATTTAAGCGTATTATACTTACTATTTATACTTACTATTACAGTTTCTTCCTCTATAAATTTTTCATACATGTACTACTGGTAAAACGTTTAGAATAACAATTTTAAATATTTCTGATGTTGCTGAGCAACGGTTACAGGATACAAATGTGGCGTTGCCACTCCAATATCAAGGATAATAAATATAATTATCTGTTAAAAACTAAAATATTACAACCTCTCCCCCGCCAGATATTAATTGATATTTTTATAAATTAAAGTTTACAATTTTTTTTCAAAACACAATACGTAATTGAAATACAACAAATAACATAATAACATACAGTCAGGAAAAAAAGGAAAGAATGAACTAAATTTTTTATCTATATACAGTAAAAAATTCTTTAATAAAGCCAGGGCGTACGACTTAATGCTCTACATTTTTATCGTTTTTACCACTTCGATGAACGACAGTGTAATTCTAGGGTTGTAATATTATTGCCCATCTCATAAGTCACAGATTTAGACCATACATTTGTTTTGAGCCAAACTAGGGGATTATGATCGGTCATGATGAGGAATTTAGTATGTCCGTCTAAATAACATTGCAGTTCCTTTACAACGAATATTATGGTAGCGATTCCTTTTCTGTGGTAGAGTACTTTTTTCAGTTTCTGTAAACTTCTTACTGAGGTATGATACTGAATGTTCATTGTCTCGTTCATTTTTCAGCTAAAATGACACCTATACCAGAGTTTGAAGCATCAGTTTGCAAAATAAACGCTTTATTGAAATCAGGTGCACGTAGAGGCTTTTGCGGCAGTTTACAACTCGCTCTTGTCTGTTTAGTTTCTTTACAAATTTCTTGATTTACATCTCAACTGGAGAACTTGGAAATTCGTCTAGAATTTTTAACTGAGAATCGTCTAATTTTGTCAGGTCTTTTTTTTTTTTTTTTCAGATAGTTTTTGCTCCTTGCGAGATGAATTTTTGTTTTTATCTGCTACTGGCATTCTCATTGATTATGGCAACTTTGAGTATCCTTTATGATGTTTATGCCTCTAAGTTTTCTGACGCGTGCTTAAATTGTGAACGTATTTTTAATTTCTCAGCTTCAGAAGCACCTTCATGAGTTTTATCAGCGGTCCTTTGATCTGCTGTTAACAAACTGTCAGACACATCTTTACTTTTTGGAAAAGAAAGAACTGGGGAACTTGTAAGGAAATAATCACACACACTATCCATAAAAGGTGAATCACCAGATGAATAAAGTGAGTCAACTACCATATCAATAACTTCAGTTTTCTCACCAGGAGGTGAACGCTTAGATTATTTGTCAGATTTCTGTGAAACATTGACAGAAGCTTGCCTATTAGGAGGGTGAGCTAAATTACTCTGAGTTTTAACACTATTATTTCTTTGGATCTGCACCAAAGATGAATAATTCTGCATTTGATACCTATATTTTTCAGGAATAACAATTAATTCCCTTTCATATCCATTTTTATCTATTTCCGTTCTCACCAACAATCCGTTTCCTTTTACTTTCAAATCATTTGTGTTGCTGGAATTTTCACTTTTAGCTTCGCTAAGCAATGAGGCCAGATCTCTGCTTTGATGTTGAGATTCAACTAATTCCTAAGAATTAACATTAATTACTTTCTTAATTTCTTTGTCTTCCTCATCAGCTTGCGGTAAAATATCTTCGTCAATCTCAATAACGCCAGTTCTTCTAGTTTCTCCATTTCGGTTTCTCTACTTCGATCTTCTTCACGAGATCTTTTTACTTGAGTTCGTGTCAAAACCACATTTACCTTTTCTTAATTAAAGAAGGATTTATGTCTGAACAATTGAGCAGTTTTATTACCCAATACATATCTGCCGGGATCATATGTAACAACAGTTGCCTTTGTGTTTATATGACCAAGTTCACAGTTAACTTCAACTTCCGCTAACAGACGACACAGTAAATGGTCATTTAAAAGATATTGGTACCCAGACATGTTCTCCAGTCATTTTTAAGTTATCTATGTATTTTCGTGAAACAACATCTACTGTGGTTCCTGTGTCTCGAAGAATAGGCATTTCATAAGAAGAATAGGCACTCGAAGAATAGGCACTAAACCGTGAATTGTATATGTGTCTAACAAGTCATCATTCGAAAATACGCAATTTACCTTTTCATTTCATTTGGTTTCAAGCGAGAGCACTGAGGCTTCAAATGTTTGTATAACCCGCATTCGAAACAACGTGGTCGATATCTTTTGTCATATAAATTTTCTTGGTTCTTGTTTTGGAACTGATTTCTTTGTCGAACATCTCTTTGTCGATGATCTTTCTGGTATTTTAAATCATCCCATTTATCAGTATGCTTAAAATGAGGAGGATGCTGTATTTTTTTCAAAAAATTATCGTGAAGAGGTTTAAATGATCATTTGTTAATTCTCTCAGTTTGATTGGCAGAAAATTTCGGTTTTACTGTTTTTCTCACATCTTCAAAATCTTCAATTTTCTTAACCATCTCAGTAGTCTCAGTAGGTGAAATGATGTAGTCCATTCATCCATAACATGTTCTTTGAAATCAGGAGAAGTACGCTTTTTAATTTGATCAACCAGCATGAGATCTTTTAGCTGTTCAAAACTGTTAATGTTTAACCCGTTAAGCCAGCCTTCTAAATAATTTTTTAATCCATAGTAGAAATCATATCAAGTACTTTCAGTAGACTTTTGGTGTTTATTAAATAGTTGTCGAAATTGTTCCGCACTCAATTTAAATCGCTGTAATAGTAGAGCTTTTACGTATTCATACATTTTCGCGTCCTCTTCTGGTTCTCTAGCAATAAGCTGAACAATATCAGGAGGCAGCAATGAAATAAGTTGAGTCACTTGATTTTCAGCAGGTATATTTATAATTTTAGCTCCATACGGTATTTCTCCCGCCTTTGTGGTGTGGTGGTTTGCAAGCTAGGAGCGTATTCCAGAGGTCCGTGGTTCGATTCCGGCGAAGGCGTTGCTCATTTTTCACCTTCCCTGCTTCCAAAAAAAAAAAAAAAAAAAAAAAAATACCTACTGTCTTTACAGCTCAAATAACACCAGAAATAAATTTATTTCATCTTCTTTAGGGTTAAAACGTGGGATGATATCGCGAATTCTGATTTTTAAAGGCTGCTCAGGTAACTGTGTAGTTTCTACCGGCTGTGTTCTTGCAGCCATTGCTTCCAATTGAAGTTTTTGTAGCTCAAAAGCTCTAGTTCGGTCTTCTCTTTCTCGTTGTTCTTTTCTTTCTCTTTCGCGTTCCTTTTCTCTTTCTTTCTCTTTCTTCTCTAACTACAGCCAGTAGATCTAGAGGAAATTCCTCATCATAACCGGGACTTTCAGTAATCAATTTATGCAATTGAGCAATCTTAAATTCAGGTCTCACGGTTAAACCTAACTCTTCTGCCAGTACTTTTAAATCCTGTTTTCTACTCCTAGCTAAGAATGACATGTTAAACAAGTTACCTTTGATAAGCTTTCCTTAAATTTGAATCTTACAAATCGTACTTGTATTAATAATATATAATTTTTGGTAAGACTTAGTTTGTCAAATACGAAATTCACACTAACAAACTGGAGAGAATTATTTAAACAACTTTGCCAGTTTGGCACAAAATAAAATAATACTACGCCGGGTTGACGTTTTCACTCACTATTCACAAGCCTCTTTGGCGATAACTATATAAACATCTTTGCCAGTTAGGTAATACAATAGAATTTTACCCACGTCAGTTTGACAATTTTATTATCTATCTGCACTCCTGCTTGGCGATAACAAAAACAATTTTTTTTTGCCAGTTTGGCAACACAATTTAGCTGTAATACGTCAGGATGACGTTATTATCTACCACACTCCTGGATGGCGAGAACTAAGAAAAGACTTGCCAATTTGGCAACACAACTCACACTACGTCAGTTTGACGTTACCACTTATTTTCCACGCGCCTGCTTGGCAACAAATTCAAAAACATAGCTAGCAATTCTCTCTCTCTCTCTCTCTTTTTTTTTTTTAAATAAATGCCGGGATTTTAAAATTCTTCTTTACCACAAATATCAATTATAATTTTAAGCTTAATATTTTAAGTATCAGTAATTTTAAACAAAAACTTACACTATTTAAATATAATTCTGAAATGAAATACTAAAATTCAGTAAACACTTTTTCATAGAAAACAAACGTTAATCTTATCTTCGGAGATCAGCAATATCCTGTTCTGTCTATTCTTTGCTCGGACGCAAGTTATACAAATACAGACGATAATCTTAAAATGATCCGCTTCAAAAAATGGCTTTAAAACGGCAGACTTCTGATATCCGTTCCTCCTTGAAATAAACAAACTCAGAAATTGGTACTAGCAAACTTGTTCTCCAAATTTCAGCAACTTTCTGGGATTAGGAGACCAGCACCATCGAAATTGATAATTGTACTTCTCATTTACAGGATCTCGGTGGAAACTCCAATTTTATAAGACTGTAACGTGTTTTGCAGTTTTTATTGAAATGAGCTTTTTTGTAAAACATAAAATTTTATCCTCAGTTCACAAATATATATAATTTAAATACAATTCTATCCGTTACAGCTTCACAATCCAACTTACTATCACAGTTTCTTTCTCTATAAATTTTTCATATATCTACTACTGGTAAAACTTTTAGAATAACAATTTTAAATATTTATGGCGTTGCTCAGCAACGGTTACACGATACAAGTATGGCATTACCACTCCAATATCAAGGATAATAAATATAATTATCTGTTAAATACTAAAATATTACAGTACGGACAGACTAAAGGACTATTTTCCTAAAGCGGATTGTAAAATGGATCCAGAAGGGATTTTTTTTCCGTGACATCTATATGTACGTTGGTATGTACATCTCGCATAACAAAAAATCGGGTAGCTGTAGCACACTAAAATTTTGTATATGGGATTGCTATAACATCTAATAGTGCACCACCTTTTTTCGTTGCAACCGCCCGCACGAAATGCATATACATGTTCTGTTACCCGGCTCTGAAAGATCACTTTTTTATTTTTATATGTTGGTAAATTGTGCATTTTTTGCTTTAAAAGTGTGAATTATGTTGTTTTTATGTTCCGCTTAAGGTTTTTATGCCTTAACCGGAACATAAAAATCCTATGCATTATTAGTCTGCATGCAATATAATAAAATTATATTAATCTGCATGCAATAGTTGTAAAAGTATCAATAATTTAAAAGTTCATGTGGCAATGGACCTAACGAGGTCACCATTTGTTTACTTTTGAAACTTTTACCAGAATAGTGAATTAAGTCGTTTGGTACACCAACTTCAGTCTTTTTCGCTGATGGGACCAAAAGTTAACTTTCACTTTTGTGCACCGAAAATTTTGTCTTTCTAATTTCAATAGAATCTCTAATTTTAATAGTAAATTTGCTTTATTAAACTGTATTCCGCATTTTATGTTTTTTGTATTTTACAATTTTTAATTAAGATGTTTTGAGTTTTTATGTATTTTTGCCCTACCACGAAGTGAGAAACGAATTGATTGAATGGGGAATGTACCTCTAATAAATTCGAGGAAATAAATGAAGTGCAGAAAAAATGCGTATTACTTAATAAGCCGTACAAAGAAGTCGTGTAATACTCACATCAGATATTTTTTATTAAAATATTACAGCAAGCACGTGAAAACACCAGCGATTAGGGCTGAAAACTGAGTGTAAAAATGTGAGTGTGCTCATGCTCTATGATCGTAGAATTCTCAGTTTATAGCTTTTATTTAAAACTAAATAAACTAGTCCTATTTATTATAAAAACTTCGTATTTTGATATGTACGCATTTTACGGTATAATAAAAAATTTTATGTAGTTAAGAAGTACCACAAAAAAGTGATGGAGTAGCAGAAAATTCGTAAAGACATAAATTTTAGTAGAAGAGGTTTGTTAAAAAATGCAAATGTGCGAAAAATCGCCCAATTTGGCAACATTGTCCGCCCACCAATGTAAAGACACATGGCTTTCTCAGAATGTGAAATGTGAAAAATCAACAATGCTCTCGTCAGGATTTGAGCCACGGATCTTCCAGTTGCTAGATGGAGTTGCTAATTATTTACACCATCAAGGAGCTCACGTCGAAATGAGATAATTTCTCAATATTAATCAATGTACAGAAAGATTTATTACACAGAAAGACGATCTAAAATCAATTAACCCTTAGAAAAACCGAAGCCTTCGCTAACCTATATCCTTAAAGTACCGAAACCCTCGTAACTGTCCCGTCCGTTTCCTTCCCTCCCCGTTCATTAACGCACAAAGGGGCGTGAAGATTTCAAATGACATCCTTTCTACTTCCTGACAAAGAAGCTTCCATTAGCCTTTTAGGACAAGATGTCTGTAATAAACTGATACAATGGATTTGGGGAAACAGCACCTTAGGCTGGAGGTAGGAAGTAAGAAGGAGTCGCCCTAAAACAAGTTTCTCCGTACCCTGCTCTGAAGCACCGGCGATCCCTACGTGGTGACCAAAACATTGGGTCATTTACCATTGAGTTCTATGGGATTTGACGCGTTCGGGTGTAAATATTTTGTAATTACGTCGCAAATATACATATAAATGTATATATTTTCTTTTTCTACAACACTTCAGAGTCCTAAGTATGTGAAAACAACATATTTTTAAACAACATTTCATTCTGAACGGAATTAAATGCTATACTTTTCACAGGACAGTTTTCTCAGAATGGTTTAATTTGAATGAAATATTTTCACAAGTTTTCGTTAATTACATTAGAAAAAAAATTAAGGTAATTCGATTTTATTCGGTTAAGGCACAAAAATTAAGATCAAAGTTTATTGTATTATTAATATTAAAATTATGCATTATTTCTTTTCTATTTATAGAGCTTCTTCCTAAAATACTTTCTTAAATATGACATGATTTTTTGGCTTCTGAGGCATCTTTAAAATCGAAAAATGTAAGTCAATTTATAATTAATGCTCTATTCGGTTCATTTTAAATTAGAGAATTATTAGGAATTAGCGAAATACTTTAAATAAGTATTTCGCTAATTCCTAATAATTAAATAGGTATTAAATAGTATTTGACTTTCTCTGAACATTTCTGAAAGGGAATAAAGTAATTTTTTTTAAGTATTATTTAAAACTTGTAACTGAGTTATTATAAAATGTAAGGGGAATAATTCTTTTAATTATACTTATCAGATTTTTTTTTTACTCTTCATTTCAACAATACATATTCCAAAACTCTTTATTACGTTCTTAAGTGCGCATCTCATAGCATTTGCTTTACAATACCTTTTAACAGATTGCTTTCGAATACGAACAATTCTTGCTTAAATAGTTTTATAAACGTATTTGTCAACAGGATTTCAATTTATGTTTACAACTCAATATTAAGGTTATTATATATTTAGATAACATTTATAATCATTATAAATTAGATACATTTAATCATTAGATTTCTCACAGTACTTTCACAGTTGTTTATAAGTGAATAAATTCTTCATTTCAAATACATTTATAAATAATTTAATGAATATTTAAGTATTTTGTCAAAGGCAGATACATGCTTTTTGCAAGCACATGCATAAATACCCATACATATTTCCTATTTTTCATTTCCGGCATGTGCAAATCTTTAATTTCTGTGCATTCACTATATTTTTCGTGTAAAGTAATTTACACTAATTTAGCATACACCCGAAAATTTTACATAAAAAATATATATGAATATAATTTGAATGAATTTCTATGGAACTGTCGTGTGTCGAAATACTATCAGAATCTTGTCAAGCGAGCTTCTGAATGTAAACAAAGAACACCCCCTCTGGTGACCCAAGCTTCGAAGCAGTGCTTCACTTCTAGCGCGGAATGGCCCCTCCTCCCTTTCCTACCTCCATGACCTTAGGAGAAGGGAAGAAAACAACAACTTAAGAAAACTTAGGATCTCGGCCAGCCTCACGGGTTGAATGAAAGGCTATCGCGGGCGTTTTGGCCTTCAAAGGATTAACAATAGTTTATTTTAAAGTAACTTATTAGTTCAATCTTCAGTTTTTGCTTCTGAGGTTACTTCATTAAATTGTGAATATTTTATATAATCTAGAATTAAATCTGCATGGCTAAAGACATTAAGTCAGAATTAAATCAGGTTTGGCAAACCCTGTCAAAGACGACCATCCACGATTCCAGACAGTTACATTCTTCAACAAAAATAGTCGTGATTTAGACACGCATAAGAGAAGAAAACTGTCAGGGGTGACAGTTATCAGTTTTCATGAGAAATTTCCCCGTTTAAGACTGTTACAGCCTGTTAAAGAAAAATAATGACCCAAAAGTACGAGATATTTGTTTATTAAAAACATTATATTAATAAAACACAAATTAAACGCAAAGACTAATGTAGCGAGACAAAATCTTAGGAAATTAATTACTTAATGTTTATTTATTTATTCAAATATTTTGAGTGAATAAAACTTTCAAGCTTGAAAAATATCTTTTGTTTAAGGCAGATACGGAAAAAAAGATCTTTACAGTATAAATTTTGTTTAGTAATTCGAAACATTTCCTATTCTGGTCATAAAATTAGTTTTTTGAGTGTTTGTACGTCATCGTGCTTTTAATAATTTCATTGTTATAATTCTTTCTCTTGTATAAAAATATCTATCGATAATTTATTTTTTAATAATTTTATGGTTGATCTGATCGTAATTATTTATTTAATAATGTGAAATTCATTTATGTTAAACGTCTGAGGCATGTGTACATGTATTTTGAAATTTCTCCCATGCTTAATACTCTTAATTTTCACATGCAAAAATTGCAAGTTGGTTTCACTTTATAGTTCTGAAAATACTATCATAAAGTTTTGTTCCGCTTGTTTTGTTCTCTGTTTTTTTTTAATATTTAATTTCAATAATACTGACTTAACTGCCGATTATATTTCAGGTAACAAGAAACCTACTCGCGTTCGACGTCATGCGCCAGCTTGTCCTTTCCCATCAGCGATGGAGACTGCGGAACTGCAATGTGTTCTTTACCCCAGTTCGATGTAGGCTATTTATTTTTAATTGATTGTTTTACTGGGAACAAAAGCCTTGAACTGGCATTTAATTTTCTGATATTTAGTATTCGCGAAGCGAAATTTTATATAAATGATCTTACATTAAATTTGCGGTATTTGCAGATATTAAATTGATACCAATAATTTTCTCTGGGAAATAAATAATAATGTAAATCAGATTTACATTGGCCAAACTAGGAGAGCCTTAAAATTTCGCGTCAAGGAACATGAAGCATATGTTAGAAAAAAGGAAACACAGAAGTCTTCTTTTGCTCAACATTGTTGGTCCGAAAATCACACTTTCAATTTTTCTGCTGCTAAAATTATTCAAAAACCATCTTCCATTGGAGAACTGGATTTTCTAGAGGCATTTCACATTCAAAAAAATCTTTCTGTTCTAGTTAACGATCCTAATTTCAATCTATCTTTGCCTTCGGCCTTTAAAGAAATTAAGAAATTATGTTTTAGTTCTGGTTTCACCAACAGATGGCGCCATATGCTTATTTTTGTCCTGGCTTTCTTATCTTATCGAATCATTATTTCCTATCTTGTTCACTTGCGGTTTTGCAGCTGAGGATGGTGATTCGATAAAACCATCGAAACTAGTCCTGTGAAAATCTTGAAAATATAACGCTGATTTTTGTTGTTTGACTTCTGAATTAGTATTTATTCGGCGTGTTATTGTGTCTTAATTATTCCAATTGTGTCTTAATTAATTAAGGTCCCTTTGATGTAAGCAGAACAACCTCTCATATTAGAATACACTCCTAAAGCTTATTTAGACATAATTGGTGTGACATGATATATAGTGAATCTAATAAATGTTAGTCCATCGCAAAAGCTCAGTTATGTATATGGTACATTAATCATCCAGTAAAGTACAAAGTCTGAGATCTAGAATCAATATTTTCATTAGAATCAGAAAAGCCTCCGATGTCAGCACTTTTCCTTTTAATCTCTCTCACAATATCTTCATCACTCGGATCTTCGCAGGTAAGGAAAAATTCCATATCACATTCCGAAAATAATAAAATGCTAGGTTTTATAGTCACTTAATGATAGGCAAATTCTTGTTTTCGTTATCATTTTCAACCTCACTTACTAACGCAGCATACGGAAAACAATTTAAGATGTTTGATTCTGTAACAATTCGCGAAGTCTTTTCTAGCACTAGCGTTTCGTTAAGAAGTGAAACATGGTTATTATCTGGATTCTCGTACTTCTAGAAAATGTTATAAACAAGCTGCTTTCTATAATGACACTTCAAGCACATGGTCATGGCTTTTGTCTTTAGATTTAGGATCAAAATTACATTTGGGGATAAGAAAACAATCTTAATTCATTCTAACTTTTCGACGGCTGTGTGTAGTACAGTTGCAAATCAAGAGTATAATTCTTAGCTTTTGCGCCAAACGTTCTTCTTCCCACTATCATAGCTCATCATCAATTCCGATGTCTTTCGTACTTTGCAATTAGACTAATAGGAATAAGGAAGACGTTCAAATTTCTAAGCATCTTCACTTTTAAGATCTTCCAGAAAGCAAAATCCTGAAGTTTAATGCCTATCATACTGGCCCACACAAAGCTGTATTTCGACAATTACGTATTTTCGACAATTTTTCGTCAGTGTATCTTCGTTCTTTAAATTTTAAGGTTTACTTTAACATCCTCTTGTGCAACAGCTCAACTCTTTATTGGCGCTGAAAACGTCTCTTTCTTCGTACTGGCAAGAGACATCATCTCTAATAATACTTTCCGTTCCTTGATAACTAATTTGGAAATGCTCCCTGACTCTCCGACAATTTTTCTTGAAGTAGTATTGTTGTAGTTCTTGAGCCTATCCAACCAACTATTTGAACACGAAAAGGTAGCCTCCCCGAAATGCCTGTTTCTTGTTATGAAGCTTCTTTGGCTTCTATCTGAAGTAAGTGTCTATTAGCATCCACGTGCAGATTAGGGATACTGCATCTTCTTTGAAAGGTAAATCATTTTAGCAGCGCTTTTTCAATATCTTTATGTTCGGTCTTTGCTAGCTTTTACCTCATTTTCACTCATTTTACAATCAGTAGAAATTATCGGGTCTCGATTTGGTTTCACATCATATCAACTGTAGATTGCCAACGATCCCAACTGTAGATTTCCAGTCATACCAACTGCAGATTTCCGGGCAAATGATCCAGCTACATCCATTCTTCACTTTTTCGAATAACATTCATCTTTTCTTGAATGCAGAATGTTGTAAGTTTGCAGGTTGGGATATAGATGAGATTTTAGCATATAAAAGTTTTCCAGTGCAGAATGAAAAGAGATAGACTAAAGAATAAACGAAACTTCGCCCTTCTGGGAATATGAAAAACCAAAATAATTTCATCTCTAACGACATCATATTCAATGTCCAATTGATTTCTCAGAAGATACGTATGGGTGCAAAGTAAAGGTGCAATAGCATTTAAAAAGAATATTCTAAATATTGCAAAATATCTGCATAAAAGTCCTCTTTCTCTAAATGAGAACACAAAACTTGCTAGATTTATAAACACTGAAACAAAACATACTATTAAGGATAAGCATTTCCATTCCCTTGACGAATGACCTATATATCCCTAAACGTCTATTCATTGCTTCTTTTTCTAAATAGCGGAGATTTCAAAAATTTAGTCATGGCAACAGTGTCGAATAGAGCTCTGAAAAATGAATCAAAGAAATTGATTGGAGTTCGACAGCCTACTCAAGTGCCTTGATTCAATGGCCACGGACACCATATGATGTCTTAACTTTGATTATTATGTGGCCTGGTTCGTCTAGAATTAGAGTTTACACCTGTCTCATATAAACCTTATTTAGAACAAAGAGAAAATTAGTAGAAATGAAGGTCAAAGAACAGTAGCACTGGCTCCAGAGACAGTGCTGTCGCACCGAGACGCATAATTTAGAGACAGTAAAACTTTTAAAATTTAGAGAAGCAATGAACACCGAAATTTAAGCATGATAAAATTTTTAGAATTTAAAGGAGGCCCTAGACAGCAGAATTTAAGAACGACAAACCGTTTTGAATGTATGGTAGCAGAATATAAGATTCACAGAGGCATAAATGCCAAGCACCAGCCCTGAAGAACAGTAATGTAATAGTAATTTTCATTATTATAGCATGAAGCTCTCTACAGCTATATAAAATAACACTAAGAGTATAGGAAATTTGGTCAGACCAAAACGACCACTCCTTAAAACGAATTCGCTGTAATAGGGTTTGAATGCACTTATGCAGAAAAAAAATTAACCTGACCTACAATTCTCCACTCTACGTCGAAGAGTTTAATCCTCTGACCATGAGTACCGTGCAGATTCAGAACAAAAAGGGTAAACGCTTTATTAACGGAACCCGCGTTCGGAGAATTAAAAAGACTGAAATCTTTTCATACCTTTAATGAGGAGACGCACTTGATGCGCTAATTTTTTATGGTAAAAACGGAAAATTAATCTTTTTTTTTTAAAATCAGTCTCAACTGCCGGTTATTAAAAATTTTTGGCTGTTTTAAATGGCATTAACCCTCCAAGCGGCAAGGCTGTATATATATGGCCTAGAATATTTATTGTGATATCTGTAGGAACGTATATATACGTGCATATTAAAATATGTCAACGAAATTAAGGCAATATATCAAAAGATGAAATACCAGTAGAGTTTTTACATTAAAATCAAAAAAATAATTTGTTCTCATAGTAGTTTTGGGAAATTTGTGCTTTCTTGCCCAGAGGGTTAAAAAGTCGTAATAAAAGGTCATTAGTTCAATTTAAACAGCTAAACAGCATAGGAATAAACAAAACGTTTAAGCAGATCCGATTAAGGAGTATAATATAAGCGCATTAAAATAACGGAGTTTAAACCATAGAAAATTGGTATTCATCTTTTTGATTAAAACTAGTGACGTGAGATCTTCTCATATACTATTTATCCTGCTTGATGGATACAATGCTAGGGTTCAAGAGAAGTTTATGTATTAGAAAATTACTCGGCAATTAAACATATACTTTTAGTATATACTATATGGACATTATTATTTTTAAACTAAATTTTATTTGAATTATAATGCTTTAAATAAATCTGAAGTGTTAAATATTACTTGCAGTAAATGCATACAGAAATGTGGTTTTGGTTACACTCTGAAAGCTGGTCCTCAAGTAGCAATGAAATGTGATTACAAAGAAGATAAATGGAAGCCATTTGGATTTAAGGAGTGCGAGGGTAAGTTCAGTTATATTCGCAATTTTTAGCTAATATATAATTTGATTTATTCATTTCATCAGTGAAGGCAAATCTATGTACACAGAAAGAAATAATACACAGCCCTGTTCCTTACAGCTACCCGATATTCATTAATTCCAATCCTACAGTCTATGTCAGACATGACCAATTTCTATCTCGTTGTAGCAAAAAGCGCTGACAAATCGGATCCAGATAAATTTCTTCGTAGAACAGGATGAGGAAAATTGTTAGAGAGCTTTGATGTTTCAGCGTTTGCTAGTATAGCGATTTTCATGCATCTTTTGTCGTAAAATATAAATTTTAATTCATTCCAAGGACATTCAAACCGTTTCGAGATACTCATGGATTGAAACAGGAAAACTGAAGCAATTATTGAAGCTTTTCGAATTTTTAACACAATCAAAAGATTAGTTTTCCTTTAAAAGCATATATAGTTTTATCCAGTGATGAAAATGACGTCATTGAGATGGAGAATGGTAGGTATTTTGGAGGCAGGCTAGTTACAGGCTCAGGTGACTACAGAGCCCAATGTCGTTTGCAAATTTTGGAAACAGTTTCAGGACGCATGATCTATATCAAGAAGACCTGGACAAGGTCGACCAAAGTATCCAACGACGAATGAGGATCATTATTTGATACTTACTGCTCAGCCACACAGGACCGCTATAGCTTCACAGCTCTCGTGTGAGCTGTATGCTGCCACCAGAATCAGAGTTTCACGGTTGCCAAAGGCTTTTTGAAATAAGCCTGTATACCAAAAGACAAGCTGTTTGCGTCCCACGCAGTGCAGCACACAACAGGGCGCGTTTAACATTGTGCAGACCATAACATGCGTCTTGGACCAGACTTCAGTGGAGCTCCGTTCTTTTTATAGATTAGTCGAGATTCACCTTAGACACTGATTCTCGGCATACCTGTATCTGGAGAGAGCCTGGAACACGATACCATCCCTCCCTCGTCAGGGACGGAAAGGGACGGTTATAGTACGTAAAGGATTACGGTTATAGAGGGGTAATGCTTTGGGCAGGCTTTATGTTAGACGGCCGCACAGTCCTACATATGCTTGACAAAGGCTGCCTGGCTGCTGTGAGGTATAGATCGGAGATCTTAGAGAGCTCTATTTTCGACTTTTCAGGCGGGCATTTTGTCATGTATTCCTGTTAATGGGCAATGCTTGTCCAGATAGGGCTCAGCTCGTCGCCGATGGCCTGGAAAGGGGAATATTCTCCGCATGGACTGTTCAGATCTTCTGACCTTACCCTATAAAGCATGTTTGGAACGCTCTTGGGAAGGCAATTTCATCTTGACATTCCACTCCGAGAACTACCCTGGAGTTAAAAACTGCCTTGCTGCAGGAGTGGGACCGACTGTCACAAGGACCTTCTCTCCAGTATGTCGTTACGTTGCGCGACCTTTCTGATTATGAGAAGGGACCATACCCAAGATTAGACTGATTCTCAGTTCGATATCACATCGTAGATTTTGGACATCCCTGTACTATGAGTTTTACTGATTGCCATGGTTACATAAAATGACTTTTAAATGATACATCTCTTTCTCTGTTATAAATGAATATTCATACCAATTTTCATTAAAACCTGTTCATTAGTTTTCAGAAATTCGACATAACATGCACAGTCAATTAATTTAGCACACGAGTGTAGGTGCATTGACTATAACTTAACATAAACTCTAGGAGTCTCAGAAATTTCTCAATATGCTGTACGTAACAATGGATATAGACACTCGGAAGTCATCTTCTGAAAGCAGATTTTTTTTCCACATTCTTTCTTTCTTTTTGATATACACGATATAACGAGGTCACTTACTTTTATTGTATAATATGTATTTCCCTCTACAGAATGAAACAATGGGAAAATAAGGGAATAAAAAAATTAAAGATGAGCCTCTTATTTCGGACATTTTGATTCAGCACAATTTTTCATTACTTTTACGGTCAAGTGATTTTGTTCTTTTCCCGTGTATGTGTGTAATTTTTGTGGATACAAGATTTAGAATTATGGCGATTTTTCAAAATATTGTAGTTGCTAGAAAGAAAGAAAATTTGATTTTTACCCCCCAGTTACCATCTCAGATATAATGTTAAATTTTCATAGCCTTTTATTTGTACTTACCATTTTTTGAAACACAAAATGTTAAGCCCCAAAATCTTTCTTAATCATCGGCACAGCTTTAAAGGGATTGAAGATTACAAGTGCCCCCTAGAAAAATATATTGCAGTAAGAGGCAGTAGCTTCTTCAATAATGAAGTTCACTGCAACTAACTAGGTTGCCTTACCAATTTTTACAGTTTTTTATTCATGAATTCTAACGAACTTTTCCTTACTCTTATGTTATGTGAAGAGGAATATTTGTAGACAATGAAATGCATATAAATGAACTATATATTTGTGCTCTTTCGCACGCTGCAACACACAGCGCTTGTTATTTTGAAAACGATCAAGGTGTTTATGTAAAGTTTTTAATGTTACTGACGTAATATAAATAATCTATTTTTGGAAGAAGTGAAAATGAATGAATTTAGTTTGATCAACTTTATAACAACACTTAATTATTTTTTTCTTTTTTAGCATACATAGATTGTTCGCTGACTTTAACATCCGGTGGTTTTGTAAAATGCACTTCAGCATCATTAAAGGCAGGGCCCTCATGTACCATTGAATGCGACCACTATGAAGACAAACCAGCAGTTCGAAAAAAGGCATATTCCTGCACTAAAACGGGAGAGTGGGAACCAAGTTTACCGTTTTGTGTTATATCTGGTTCAGGTACTTATACTATGAACATATTTACTTATTTATTCATTTATTAGTCCAAAGGGGCAATTTGCCCAGAAGGAATATTAATTTCCTTTTGGCATTCTACGTTGGTTGACTATAAACTGCGTTTCGCTCTTCAAATTGTTGCCACTAAGCATTAGAGCCCTGCATTATATTCAAAGAAATTAAATAATGAAGAATCTGCAGGTATTTAATCTATGTTTCTCGCACTGTGAAAAAACAACATTGTGCGGTGGGGGGGGGATCTTCAGAGTGCGAGATTGTGTATCTGAAATTCTAAAGGTATGCTCTTCTAAAAATGATTTTGTGATATTGCTAGTAAACTGAGTTTTATGGTTTAAGTGCGAAGAACATGATTGTACGCACTAATGTACACTAATCGAATCAACGAATGGCGCTTCCTACGTATCTAACTGTGAATCTAAATGCAACATCTAAATTCTATAAGTGGTGGTTCAGTTATGATTCTATGATCAAAATACTCAATCTAGTTTCAAAAAGAATTTATTAAAATAGTAAACAAATTAATCTAATCTAGAATCAAATCTAATGTTATATCTCACGTGCACAGGGGCGTAGCTAGAGGGGGGCATCTGTCCCCGGGCGCAGAATCCAAGGGGCGCCAAACTGATGTTACGACATTTTAGAATTAAATGTTTTCCATATGTTTTCCACCCTTGGCAAGCAGTAGGGGGCGCGAAATCTTCAGTTGTCCCTGGGCGCTGAAAACCCTAGCTACGACTCTGCACGTGCAGCGCTCGAGCTGCGTCATAACAAATCGAAAGTCAAGTTCTCACTGCTGCCATTCCGAGGCAGAGAAAAGTTTGTTTCTAATCAAGCCGGAACATCGGCAGAGGAAAGTTTCTAGTCAAATTGGAACAATTATATTTAATAAATAAAGGTAACACACAAAACGTTAGAAAAACGCTCCTTTGGGCGTAATATAAAATCTGAAAGATAGATTTAAAAAAAAAAAAAAAAAAAAAAAAAAAGTCGTTTTTGTTTACTAAACAAGAGCAACAAGGCGATGTCCACTTTTAATCGTGGAAGTTGGGTCGAAAAGGAAAACAATGGATTTTTAGCCGAAAATTCTGCCCCCCCCTGCACTTAAGGAACATGTGCGAGTAACAGGATTCCTATCAGCTGCGGCCTGACTGAACAGTTTTCCTTTACTCCAAGTTATCCATACGCACAACTGTCCCCGAATGTTCGATTTCCTTAGTTTGATTAATTTCAGAATTTATATTAATACACTCTTTTATGTTGAAAAATTATATACTGAAAATATAAATTTTAAGTATAATTTCTAGAATTTTAGCCGCCTTTTTTCTTTTCAAGGAGCTTCACAAGGAATTCGATCTTCTTCATGTATCAAAAAGTTCTTTTTGTATTCATTAGAAATAATTAAATTTTGCCATTTGAGTGATAATGAAATAGCTAAAGCTTTAAGATGATTTCTATTTATTGCTTGGCATAATAGATTTTTTAATTTGAAATCCAAATCTGTATCAAATAACCTGGAAAAGGATTCTTCATAAATCTGCCAAACAAATTCTTCGCAATATTTTTATATTTTCTATTTTTGATAGTGAAATATAAAAATACCTTTTTATATTTTTCTATTTCTGATAGTGCAGTGTGTAGAATACATGAGCAATCTTGCCTTTTTTAGACTGTTTTTCTTCCATTAATTCCATGATGTTATTCAGTAAGCTATTGGGTTGTCTGAAAAGTCATGATGCATTTTTCTCTATGTTCTTAAAAAGTCTTTTATTCATATAATGGAACAATGAGCAGTTAATAGTATATTAATAGAGTGTATTCTCAACGTATATGTCGTTTATGATGCTTCGATAGTTAATGTCTATTCTAAAAACAATTCCTCCAATTCCAGAAAAGATTTTTTTTTTTTTTTTTGTCTTTCGTTTATCCTTTATTTAATGCTCTGTATGCATTTTAAAATTATTATATGCATAATAATGTTATTAAAATATTACATTACTGATACATATAAATACTACCGACCTACTGTTTTCATGGATTTCTGAAATAAGTGCTATTTATAACCATTAAGTAAAATTTCAAGTATGAGGAAGGGAAACGCATGTTACGTAAAGAATCATGCTTTCAGAACCAATTTAAATGAACCAAATAAGCTGTTGATGTATAATAAGCGCATAATTTATGCTGCGATTTCGAATATTACGCGTATAAACAAAAGTCATAGCGGGAAGATATTTTCGTTAAATTTTAATTATGTTCTTCATATATAAAACTACTACTTATTATACGAAACGAGCTGCATGTGGCTTTCCAACTTGCTGGAGCAAATTTTTGTGAATTATAAAATTTCCGACCATACCACAAGAAATTATGTATAAAAACTTATCAATGTTTTGCATTTTAGTTTGTTTGTTTAAAAGCTTATGACAAAGCATTATTTGCCTAGAGGGATGATAGGATGCCTTAGTGGGAGAACTTTTAAGGGAAAAATGGCCTCCATTCACGTTACACATGGACAAAAGTAAGAAAACTTCTATGCAATTAGCTAAATCGAGACCTACTCATTTTCTGAAACGATGAAAATTTTAATAAACTGAAATGCAGTTTTAGAAACATTTCTGTTGCAAAACGTAGAAAAACAAGTTTGTCTTATCCCTTAGAAACATATTTTTATTAACTTTACTACTCAGTTCTTTGAGTGGCTTTCTCATTTTATTGGAATGCTTTGCATAATTAATTAAATGACATTTTTTCTCCTTTTTTCTTTTTTGGTATACTTACATTTCATGTTTAATTTCCTTTTCCCGAGATAAATTACTTTGAATCAATTTTCCAAAATTCAGTTTTAGAAATCTTGTTCTTTTATTTTGAACTATTTTCAGTATCTTTAAAGCTTTTAACAATTCATTAATGCTGGTTGCAATTTCTGTGCTTAACACTGAAATATCACCTATGATACTGAACTAAAAAGTCAGAACGCAGCCATTTGCCATTCATGTTATGCTTGTTACTCCATTTCATTTAAAAATAATAATAAGAAATCATAACACATATCAGTGAATCAATTTTTATATTTTCTGCTATGAAATTTAAATAACCTTAAATTAAAATGAAGGTACCATCTTTCAAGAATAAAATCTGAAAGCTATACCATTGGCTTACCTTTTCTATAAATAGTATATCGAAGACAGAAATACCAAGTTTGCTGAAAAAACTAACTACTGTTAATATTTATTAAGTAAGGGAAGGAGTTATATAAATCCACGCAATTTTGTTTTCCTTAACTTCATTTGTTGGATTTTGAAATCAAAATTACAACAAAGAACATTTTTAGTCTTTCCAATTCATTTTAATTTCAGTACTTAGTTCTAAAACCTGATCAAATATAAATAATTATAGTGCAGCTTGGTAATTTCGTTAAAAATATTATCGAACAGAAAACACGTTAAGTAATTAACATACGAGTTAATAGCATTAATTATACGCTATTAATTATATAAGATATAATTAATAACATGTTAGTGCTATTAATTAGTATGTTAATTTTGGCAAATTTAAACCAGTTAAAGATATTGGTCTTAAAGCCCGAATAAGGCGGGCAAGATTGCGAGGTCTTGGCTAAGTGGGAAGCGTTTATTTACTTGCAAACCCTACTTAATTTCCCCTTCATGAGGGGAAGGAATTTCGACTCAAAGTACAGGATTTTCCCTATCGACTAATCTTCCACCGACTAAAAGGCCAACAAACCGAACAACACACAGGATTTTTCTTTCGATTAAAAAATCTCGATTGAAATATTCATAGTTATTGAAATTTTACAAACTTCTGCCTATCTAAATCTCCCAGAAGTAGGCCACAAGTATTCTTAACCACATTTCTAATTTGATATGAAATGTACTTAGGGTTAACAAACGACCAATATATTCAAGTGCAACAAACGAGCAATACATTCTTTAAGAATTCTTTTGAGGCGATACTTCATCTGCTTCTGCTTCCTGACATGCGCTTACTATTTAAGTTAAAAAATATCAGCATTAAAACATAATAATAGTTTATATTAAATGGAACTCATTGTAATAATAAACTAAACTACATTTTTCAACAATCCATAAAGTCATACTTCTTACTGCATATAACTTATACATAGAAAATGGTACAACATTACTGCAACTGCCTAGGATAACTGAACTACCTAAAACCAATCTTGCAATTTTTTTTCATAATTTAGATGTAGGATTATCTTAATATAGTTTCGCATTAATAATATTTTTTTTGTTATTTCATAACTAAATACACACTGACGAGAAAAACATTATGGTCATCTCCACATTTTTCAATGAACTTGTCTGGATGACGTGGAGGGCACATGATTAAGTGAGGATGATATTTAAATACTGCTGGAGAAGGTAAAGAATCATTCTTTCACTTACTGCAGGAGACGGACAAACTGCATTGCGATATGGCATTTCGGCCATATTTCATCAGTCAGTCAGTAAGGAATCATTCTTGCACTTACTTTCGCGAGTGATGGCGGTGATCTAAGCGAATGTGATACATGGCAGATTGTGAAGGCCTCGAAGACTCGGTACGAATATCTCCGAAACTGCACGACTGCCAACTTGTTCACGATCTGCCGTTGTTAGTATTTATGCAAAATGGATAAATGACGTTTAAACCAGGAGTAAACACACAGGTGTTGGACGTTCACGTGTGATCAAAGAAAAAGTAAGTCGGAGACTATCCGACATGGCACAGGAAATTCGGCTCCAGACCGTGATTCAGCTGACAGCTCAATAAAATGCAGGTCCAAGCGCAAGTGTTTCGGAACACACAGTTAAGCGGACATTGTTGGATATGGGACTACACGCAGCAGACGTTCCACTTGTGTGCCTCTGCTGACCAAGCGTTTTGGTCAACTACTCCCAAAGTGGGCCTGCGAACATCGAGAGTGGACCATGGATAAGCGGAAGACAGTTGCTTGGTCGGATGAATCATGATTTTCCCTTCATTATATTCGTGTCAGCGTACGCCGTCTTCCAAGCGAACAAGTACTCCCCCTGTACAGCAGGTCATACACAAGCTGGTTGTGGTAGTATTATGCTTTGCGCGACGTTCTCATGGGCAGCTCTGGGACTCTTATTTGTGGTAGAACAGACCATGGAATCTGCGGACTATCTAAACATAACTGCGGATCAGTTATACCCTTAAATGGCATCTGTTTTCCTAACTGGAAATTGAATCTTCTAGCAGGGCACTGTGTTGGAGTGATTCGAGGAGCATAAGGATGAATTCCAATTAATGTCATGGCCACCTAACTCGCCAGAGTCATGGTCATAATGTTTTGCCTCTTCAGAGTATTTTAGAAACTTCGAACTCATAGTATAAGATGACTTAAACTATTCTCATACAATTCTCTATTTTTTTTTAAAAAAATTATAATTAGTATTTGTACATGTCTAGAATCAATGTTCAAAGAAATAAAGACTTCAGCCACTTTTCATGATCACTTTGTGCATGCACTGATTTATTTCAAACGGATACTCATATTAATTCTATTCTATAATTTACTTTCTCATGTTTTGTTTTAGGTTTAGAACTTGTACCAGCACCATAATAAGTATGCTCTGGAACTTTATACAACTTTCTGACAGAAGGAACATCGGATTGATTTACAAAAAAATTTATAATTCTTTAACATTTGTAGATTCTTTTTGCTTTTTATGTATCATACAATTATCTTTCCAATTCTTCACTGCAATTTAAACTGGTATGAATAAACGGAAATTAAAAACATGCATAAAATTTGGCATCTTTATTTATTTAGAACTTTATGTTTATCATGTTTATACATTTTTATTTACATTATTTTGTATTGTAATATGGAAATCTATTAATAATAAAGAAAAAACTTAGCAAATGCTTTTGATGAAACTATGCTGTGTCATAACATAGTTTCATCAAAAGCATTTGCATTACAATTGATGATACATACTCAACTATCAACTTCCAATGGACTCCTTGATCATCGCTGACTACTCTTAAAAAATCTGATCTTTCTTTCTAAAATATTATCTTTCTGATTATGAATAATTAATCTTTCTTTCTAATTAAACACATATATTTTTGTTATATATAAGAGTACTGAAAGCACAATAATAAAAGTGTAATCTGTACTGAAAAGCTATAAAGCATTTTACTTTATATACATTACATACTTTATTTACAAAAAAATAATAAAGTATACAATATATGTTCATAACATCATCAGTAGCAACAATATAATACATTAAGACAACGAATCAATAAATTAATTAAAATTAGCTGAATCATCACAAATTGATCAATTACTTTGACTGCAAATATACATTGTAATGGCAGTAATTAGTAAATAACTTAATTAATTAATTTATTATTATTATTTTTTGTTGCAATTTTCACATTAAAGAGCTTTAATTTAATTTTGCATAAAATGATGACTACTTAAATCTCTATGACTTAGTTATTATAAATTTTCTTTCAAAATAATTATAAAAGTTTTAACATTTATTATTTACTTGTATTTAAGTAATCTTTTGAAGCATCCATACATTGAAATATTTCAAATTGTATTACAATTTATTTAAGATAATTTCAAAGGTTAAATGTTTAAAAACACCATAAACAAATGTACAAAATAAAATGATGATTTCACTATTATTATTTAGATATCATTACACACACAGCATTTATACTGCAATACTCATATTTACATTAAAAACAGGTGAATGGTATACATGAATGATATTTATGAATAATATACAAGGGTGATAAAAAGCATAAATAACAAATACATTAAAAGACCAGTTTTCACTGCCACTAAAAGACCGGTTTCAATTACAAATATATTAAAAGACCAGTTATGAAAATATTAAAGACCAGTTTTCACTGCATTTCCTTCAAATACAAGCTCAATACCTAATAGAAAGATGCTTATGAATCTAATAAATAATGAACTAATCCATTACACTTTGTTTATTAGCAATAAAAAATGCTTGTATAAATTGAGGTCTAGGACAGAACAGCATAACCAGTTCAGTAATATACAAAAAATTCAGACAGCAGACTTACATGAATAGAATTATGTAGGTACAGTTAACTGGAATGTATTTTGGCAGTAAAGATTTACACCCCCTCTTTTAAAATAAGAAGGGTTTTTAAATGCATTTTTAGATGTTACAAAGCATGTGACAGTTTGTCAGGATATCACCTCGTCTAGTCATTTATATCTGTGCGAAATCTGTGTTCAGGTAGAGTAAAATCATTATATATATTAGATGGAAAAACATTGTTGGCATCTTTTGAAGGAACAAAGTCAAAAGAAAGGTCTTCAAACCGTACTGCAGAAGCTGATGAAGGGTTTGCATTAATGAAATTTTTAATACCACTTGATAACTCACTTCTTGTAGAAGTTACTACACCTTCATGCACAAAATGTCTATCACCAGATTTGTAAATATCAAATATAGAAGAAACACTAGGCATTTTAATTTTTGAATTAAATTGTTGATTTGTTGAGCCACCTGATGGAATGCTTTTATTGGAACTCACAATAGGAGTACTTCGAAAATGCATCTGAGGAATGCAGATATTTGGCACAGAAGAAAACGTGTCTTTTGAAATATCCTGGAGGACTACTGATGTTAGTTGTTGATGATAATGAGATAAGACTTTTTTCAATCTCTCTGCTCCTCGTTTTCTGAATTCCGCAAAATAGCTGTTAATTTCCTCTAAAAAGTTCAGAATAAAAAATTTTTTTAAACTGAAAATTTCATCCAACATAGGTAATATACAGACCAGTTTATTTTGTAAATAATATTAGAAGCATAAAAAAGGGCTTCTCAAAGTGTGGACTGCAACCTCATATGGGATCCGGTAACTATATTTTGGCAGATTTTAGAAAAACAAAAAAATTTCTGGACATGCAATGCCTAAAATTAATTCAAAACCAGTTTGGAACTCCTATAACCATAACTTGCCTGAAAATTTATGATAGTGGAGAAGTATTTGTTCAACTTGCTAGCTGCAACTGATTAACTTACCCCTACTGACTAGCATTTCAAAAGAGATATAGCTCTAGCTGGTTGTAAGTAAAATGTCTAAGTGAATTATGTATGCACTTTTTGTTTTTTCCCCCAAACCTGACAGTAAATGTATGCAGATGACCACATTTCTATACGATTAAAATGGAACACGGCATAGAATGAACAATGCTAAAGTTAACATTGACATACACAAATAAGCAAACAAACAAAAAACAGCCTACCAATATCTTTCAGTAATAGAACCCATACAAACAGTTAAGCATGCTTAGAGGTTAAAGATATTTCATTATAATTGTATTTATCTCTGGTAAAGGTATGTTACACAGCATTTTAGCCTTTCTACACCTTATCATAAAATGTCTAATACTTCATGATGGTTTTCTATTGAGAAGCCATTCTAGCCAAAAATATATCACCAGACATAAATACTGCACTTTGTGATGCTATCAAAATCATTACTTTCATAAAAAGCTGAGTCGTTAACAATCATCCATTTTCGAACTTTTGTAAAGATATGAATTCCAATTAACAGACCTTACTGCAATATGCAGAAGAATGGTGGCTATCAGGAGGATCATGTTAACACAGATTATAATAATTGAAAGATAAAGTTGTAGTTTTAATCAACCATAAATTCAATTTTATTTATTATTTTCACAATGAATTATGGTATTTTAATTTATTATATAAACTGTATTATTTACGATATATTTCAAGGATTGCCAATGCTTTAAACTTCATGGAAATAACTTTAATAAACATATGTTAATATATAAAATTGAAATATTTGTTAAAAAATGAACGTGTGGAAAAACAAAGTGGAAAATGGATTTTAAGAAATGTTTATAGCTACAGATTCTTTTATAATTGAAAAATCATTTTTCAAAGATTAATTGATCATTTGAAGTGTCTGGGAATATACTTTTAAAAATACTTCCCTTCAAATGATGATGCTAAAAAGGAAACTGGATTCATAAACCAAAGTCAATATATATCTATATTTAAATATATAGCCAAAAACCATTCCACTAACTTTTTGGTAATCTGGTTTTTAATGGTAACATAGTAGTTTACTGATCAAATACATATTTTAGGCATTAGTGACCATAATGCCACCTCTGTATTCCATACATCTTAATAGATATATGTCAACCTACTACATTACATGAAAATTATATATAAAAAAACTCTGCAGTATCTCATACTTCCTTCTCCACGTTTAAAAAAAAGTATTCATCTCCCTCTGGCAGTATAAGACTGTGGAAAAAGATCATTTATAAATAAGTTTGGCTTTGGAAAGGAATATGGTAACTGCATTATGTAGCAGATATATACCTTCAAATAACTAAATGTAAAACATACGTGTATGATATTGCAGATAAACTCTCTATAGCCATACTTGTGTGGCATTTGGGATAATGGCGTAGGATGTCACTAAATTCCAGTTTCGCTTTGTCTACTTTATTTTCCTGATGCATTGAATTGTCATAATTATATAGAGGATTTTAAGGGTCTAATATTGTCCCTTATTTTCAGGACTTGCCAGAGGGCTAACTACCAACAAGGAAATAGTAACTCCATATGAAAATATGCCACCTCTCCTAAAAGATTACTATGTTCTATTATAAATGTCAGTCATTTACCAATAAGAAAAGTGTCAAGTTGGACAAATTTAAAACTTGAGTTTAAAAAAAAAAAAAAAAAAAAAAAAAAAAAAAGTTAAATGAATTTTGTTTGGGTATTAGGATAAAATTGCCAAAACTTTCTGAAATGGTTCTAAATACATTTCTAACATTTTATGCTACATATGTATGTTAGGTTAAGATTTCCAAAATTAATGTTTCTTTAAAAACATCAACTGTGTCAATAAAACACTGAAGGAGCGCAAGAACTGCAGTAGCAAATATTCACAAATACTTATCCAAGGTTAAGGCCTTCGTGTAGAAGTATGCTATTAATATTTGGTTTTGTCTCAAATATGTGCATAAAATGTAATTTTATAAATAAATGTAATTTTTATAATAATGTAATAATGTAATTTTATAAAATATAATTTTATGCACATCACAGAATTGTTTTTTAATATCGTTTTCTGAAATTTATTACCAGCAAATGTTTTAATTCATAACTCTAAATCCAGAGTGAAAATAATATTTGTTGAGGTAAAACATTCTGCAAATGGGCAAGTTTGAGAAGTCCTTGTACAGTGAACATATAATTAAATAAATATCTTGTATTAATAATCAGATGAATTACATTATAGCCATTTTCATTTATTTCCATTATTCACAAGAAAAGTTTTTTTTTTTTTTTAGCATAGATAAATTACAGATCACACTTCGAAAATTAACAGCATATTATTATTAATAAAAATGTACACCAAGAACGACTATTTTGTAATTACAAAATAGCATTATATTAGTTTATAAGGTAAAATAACATCGAACAAAATACTGTCTAGTCTAAAAATTTACTTATAATCTGCTATTTACAAAATATGCACAGTACTTAAACATATTTTACCCCAAAGTTCATCAATACAGTTTATTCCAAATGTTAAAAGTTAATAACAAAGAAAAAATTTAGTATGAACTTTGGGGGAGGGGGGGGGAGGAAAAAACTAGGATCTTGCACAGCAAAGTAAAGGAACCACAAAATGTTTTAGAATTTAAACATGTAATACGTAATGACTGAAACAAAGAAAATGTCTCAAAAACATACTACTGCTTTATAATAAAATTCCAGAATGATGCAGAATAGTAACTGAAGTTTGCAATGGATTGCAATGTACATTAAATTTTGTGTTCCTGTATATACCTCAATTTCACATCTTTTAGAAAAGAGCTGAGATTTTGAATTTTTTTTCTGTTCTTAAATTATATTTATATTTAAATATATAGCCAAAAACCATTCCACTAACTTTTCGGTAATCTGGTTTTTAATGGTAACATAGTAGTTTACTGATCAAATACATATTTTAGGCATTAGTGACCATAATGCCACCTCTGTATTCCATACATCTTAATAGATATATGTCAACCTACTACATTACATGAAAATTATATATAAAAAAACTCTGCAGTATCTCATACTTCCTTCTCCACGTTTAAAAAAATGTATTCATCTCCCTCTGGCAGTATAAGACCGTGGAAAAAGATCATTTACAAATAAGTTTGGCTTTGGAAAGGAATATAGTAACTGCATTATATAGCAGATATATACCTTCAAATTACTAAATGCAGAGTTGCCAACTCTCCCGATTTAGGCGGGAGACTCCCGATTTTCGACCGCTCTCCCGCTAACCCGATTTACAATATATTTCTCCCGACTTTTTCTTAGTCTTAATATTTCTCACGATTTTTATGGAACTTGGCTTAATACTTCGTTATATGAACAAACAAACAAACAAAAAAAAAAAAAAAAAAAAAAAAAAAAAAAAAAAAAAAAAAAAAAAAAAAAAAAGTGATTTTGGACGTTTGAAAGCAACTGAATTTTCTCTAGATTATATCTAAAATGAAACCTTGCGAATCAGATGAGAATTTCTGCTTTGTGATCGACAGCATACGTATCCAGAAACTTCGTTCTCCAGTTGTCCAATGGGCATCGAGCTCCACTGCGTGTCATCTGGCATATATTAGCCAATGAGCACAAAGCAAGCTCAAGGCCGTTGGCCGTTCTTTGGATGTTCTTTCGCTATTTCGTTCATCTTGTCCTGAGTTGTGTGAGTACACGTGCCTTTAGGAAATAGTTTTAGAAATTATCATCTTTTGATATGTCTGCGAGAAAGGTGAAATACTCGTGCACGTTTCAAAAATTGTACACAGTTGACTTTCCTTCCATTATTTCTTCAAGGAAATGTAATAAATTTGCGAGGTGTACCATCTGTCGTTGCGATTTTTCGACTTCGCTTGGTGGAAGGGCAGATGTTCTCAAACATGTGCGTACACAAAAACACAAGGACAACATGAGTTGTTTTGAAAAAACGAAAAATTAAATTTTTCTTCGGAAAAAAAAGACCAAAAAGTGATTAATGCAGAATGTCTGTTCTCTGCCTTTTTACTGGAGCACAACCTGCCACTGAATGCATCGGATCACGCTGCAGCTTTATTTAGAAAAATGTTTCCCGATAGTGAAATCGCTAAGAAATACTCAAATGCAAGGACCAAAACAGGTGCAATTGTTAAAGAAATGGGTTTGAAAAATAAATCTTCAGTTATTGATTGCATTAAAACAGCTCCATCATGCCTCTTTACGAATGGAAGCAATAATACCGATTCAAAACTGTATCCATTTGTTGTTTCTTTTTTTAAATCCAGAGTCTTCAGAAATTGAGTGCAGTTTACTTTCTGTCCCCACTTTAGAAGGACATTTGACAGGCTTTAATATAGCACAGCTAATTATTAAAACTTTAAAATAAAATGCAGTCCCTCTGGATAATTGCTTAGCGCTTGGTGCCGATAATGCACCAGTAATGGTAGGCTTGAAGGCTGGTGTTGCAGGCATCTTAAGAAAGGCAAATTCAGATTTTCAGATTATGAGGTGCACCTGTCACCTCTTAAATTTAGCAGCTGAAAAGGGGGCAGCTTCTTTACCATTAAATGTGGATGAACACATTGCTGATATTTATTATTATCTTAAAAGGAGTTCTAAAAGAAAGGAAAAATTGAAACAGTTCCAACAGCTGCATAATACTGAAATGAGAAAAATTTTGATTTTTTGTAATTTCTGCATCATTCAGCAATTCAACTGGCAGTTCTCAAAATAATACTGCAAAATATAAGCGTAAAGCTGATACAAATTTCTCTCAAAATAAAAGAAAAAATTGCTCAACACACGAAACATTTTCCGATTACTGTAAGTTTATCTTGTGAAGAACGAATATTTATGTTTTTTTCTTCGGACCTTAACAAAGCTTTTTGCTTTTTTTTACAATTCATTTTGCCATCATTCGATGTTCTGAACACAATTCTACAAAGCAGAATTCCATTAATTCATGTTTTGCAATCAATGATTTATGATCTGTTTAAAGACATTTTATCAAAGTTTGTAAAACCAGTCTGTGTTTTGTCTTGTAATTCTATATATGATGTGATTTATGGTGAAACAGAAAATCAGAAAGAAGATGAAGATTTGGTAATCGGAGCTGCAACTACAAAAGTAGTGGAAGAACTTTCAGGAGAAGACAAAAATAAGTTTTATCTTCATGTTAGAAGTTACTTCTGTCGAGTATGTGATTACACACTACATAAATTTCCAGTCAACGATGAAGTGATTTTGCATGCTAAAGTTGCTGATGTTTCTGCTCTAGCAAATGCATCTTTTTTTTATACAAGGTACTTTTTGAATAGATTTCCTGTGTTACTTCGTTTAGTCATGAAAGATGATGATATTGATGTTGCTACTGATATACTGCAGTCGCAATTTTGCAGTTTACAATTAGAAAACTTGGATGAAGTTATAAAATCAGCTAGGATTGACACCCAGTGGAGGTTAATTGGAAAATTGAAAGGTGCTGATGGAATTTTAAAATATAGTGAACTCTCTAGAATTATGTTGGCCATCTTGACAGATCCCCATAGTAATGCAGAGTGTGAGAGGATTTTCAGTGTTGTTGCGAAAACGAGGACTAAATTTAGATCTAATATAAGTGATGACACATTATAAAAACTTTTATTTATATTTTTCTTTTTTAATTTTTTTTTTTTTTTTTTTTTACGATGAAAGTAATAAAAATGTTTTTTATGTTTAAGGTATTTTTGTTTTGCTTGCATTTAAGACTTAGTAACTATTTAAAGTTAATTCATTATTAAAAACTATATTTTTATCATTTAAAAAGTCTTTTTAACATTGTGAAAAATCTCCAGATTTCTTAAAAAAATCTCCTGATTTTTGAGTGTCATAGGTTGGCAAGTATGTAAATGTAAAACATACGTGTATGATATTGCAGATAAACTCTCTATAGCCATACTTGTGTGGCATTTGGGATAATGGCGTAGGATGTCACTAAATTCCAGTTTCGCTTTGCCTACTTTATTTTCCTGATGCATTGAATTGTCATAATTATATAGAGGATTTTAAGGGTCTAATATTGTCCCTTATTTTCAGGACTTGTCAGAGGGCTAACTACCAACAAGGAAATAGTAACTCCATATGAAAATATGCCACCTCTCCTAAAAGATTACTATGTTCTATTTCTTAGTCTGCATGCTCACAGAATTACTTGTGCTATTGGACACTTCTATTTATATTTCACTTGAAAATATCTATAGTTATAATAATTCCATACTTTGGTGCTAAATAAGGTATTGATAGCTTTGGTCTTTCAGAATAATTGCACAACATAGCAGACATGCACTTACAGAATATTTCTTTTCTAGACATAGTTCAAAGATGGAAGTACTGTAATATCAAAAATTACATAAGTAATGTGCTCTCTAAATCCTAGTGGAAGCTTTCCATAAGTTGAATTTGAAAATTACTCAAGTGTAACTTCCTAAAAACCTGCAATATTTATCACATTTACTCAGTATTATAAAATATTGGTAATGGTAATGCTTGTGCATTTCAGTGTTATTTGGACTTTCAGCAATGCAAATTTTACCTTTTACTGAATTCTGAATGATTTAAAATCTGAACCTCTAGATCACTAGCAACCTTTTTTTAAAAAATGTTTTTATGCACATTCACTGGCACATTTGATATTTTTTTATAATAAAACATGTAGAGAGTACTCTTCATTTCACTTCAGCACTGATGCCAACATGGCATTATTTTCACACTGCAGCTTCAGAAATGACTTATGCAGTGATGTCTAAACATTTTTACTTATTTTTTATATTAGTAATTGAATATCAAAGAGCATGGTAACTTTTGGTGCTGACATTACAATTGGTAATGATTACAGACTTCAGCTAACTCTGGTGTGAAGTGTTGAGTGTGTTGACAAAAAGAAATTTAACAGAAATTTCTTTCTATTTAAAAAAAAAAAAAAAAAAAAAAAAAAAAAAAAAAAAAAGATTTTGTAAATGATTCTCAAATGCCAAAAGATTACATTTAGTTCTGCTTGAATTGAGAATAACTGATTTTTTTATTAAGTACAGGACTGATGAAACAATCAGAGTGGACATACCAGGCAGCAGAATTAAGGAGAGGCAAACTTTTTAGAATTTAAAGAATCAAGCAGCAAAATTAAGGAATAGCAAAATCTTTACAATTGTGGGAAGACAAAATTTTTAGAAATCTGGGAGTTGTTTGGCAACAGAATTTCGGACCTGCACAGACTGCAACTGCAAAATGTCCAGCACCAATCCTGGATAAGCCAGGGATGCAGCTGTACTAGTGGGAATTTATTTGTTTCAATCAAAGGCATTACTGCTAGGTGCATTTTCTAAACTGGACTAAATACCTTGGTTACATATTGCTATACATTGTCTCCTTTGCTTTCTTTTGTATCATATATGATAACATATTTTTTTCATAAAACAATTTTATTTTTGGACTACTTATTATTATTTTATTAAAATTTCTAGTTTGCAAAATTTCAATAATACCTAAAGAAAAGAAACTCAGTCTATAATATGAATGAATTAACTTGCAGTAAGGATTTGCTTTTAAAAATATTTTCTAAATAACAAAAACACAAAGATATGATGCAAATTATATATAGGAATAGTTAACAATCATGAAATATAATTCTTTTTCTTTTCTTTTTTTTTTTTTTTTTGAGTTATGTGAAAGTTGATATCAGTTAAACAGTTGATTGTATATTGCCATACTAAGTCGAGAGCAAATATGAATATAGCTAATAGAAAAATGATTTTGCTTTACTAAATGTAACAAATAACATGAGGTGACAGTTTGAACAAATAAATGCTACTCAGATATTATTATGCAAGTTAAAAATTTCAAACAAAAATTAATGACATATACATAAAATAATATTCAATGTTCTTTATAAAAAGCAAAATAAGTGAAACAAATTCTAGCAAGAGATGCATCATGCAGAGAAAAGAAAAATTTGTAACTTAAAAATTCAAGAACATTTACCTTTTATTTCTTTGATGCATTTTTCATACATCTCCTTGGGAATAAATTTCTCCACTGTCTGATATAGAAACAAAAACATTAGACTTGGCAGCAACAGGATAATTTACTGATAAATTGTTGAAAAGCACGCAGCTAAATATTGACTATCCCAATGAAAACAGTTGAAATAAAATATAAAGTTTAATTCAAACACTAAAATTACACATGACTGACTAAAACGTAAATCATTTATAAGTTTTTAAAATATCTTTATCTTATTTATATTTAACTAGCTGACTAAAATACTTACTATAAAAAAAGAAAAATTATATAATGATTTTAATGAGTCTAGCTAGTAGTTAATAATAATAGAGATAAAAACTGCATTTATCACATTTAAATTGCTTAGTTTGTTAATCAGTAACAGAAAGATTAAATTTGAACGAAAAATTAGACATCTTATGCTTTGCCTAATGACAAGTCCCTGGTGCATGAAGGATATATTTTATTGTGGGAAGTGCAACACATTTCTTTTAAAACATGAGCTTGTTGATAAACTATGAAAGACAAATATCTTATGCTTTACCAAGTGGCAACCACATTTCTTTTAATTTAAGTTTTCTGATTGAATTTGAAACATACCTTATGCTTTGTCGAGTGACAACACACTGCTTTTAAAATGCTGAGTTTATTATGCAGAATTTCTCTAAATCTACACAAAATCTAAAATGAATATTCAAGGTGCATCTGTTCGGATGGAGGACTGCATGTGCTAAAAATTTGATAGCTCTAGGTGACACTCTTTTCCCACAAAGCAAGAAAATACATATATCTATATATGGATTCTTCATTATTTAATAACAGATGATATCAATACATAGTTGTTTTCAAGTAACAGCAAGGGGGAGACCAACTATGTAATGAATTTCATATGATATGAAATTACAAAATTCCATGCATGTAAAAAAACACTGCGAAAAAAAGGAAAAAAAGGTTCAGTTCTACATCTCCCGATCTACTGGGCCGATTGACGAAATTCAAATTGTGTTTTTCATGTCTCGAAAACGCGTCTTAGATTATACATTAGATTTATATAAAGCTTTGTTCTAACATAGGTATTTTGACATAAAATCCGACTTTTTTCTGAAATGACATATCGATTTTTTTCCATATTTCGATTCTATGACTCATTGTGCCTAGATAAGTAGGCTATTCAGAAAGTAAGAAACGTCTCCGTCTGACGTCGCTAGGCGCGCGCCGATCACATATATTTTGGTGTCTACGTGCTCGGCATCTCAGTCAGCATCCAGCCATCACAACGGGAACATTTCCATGCTGACCGTTTTTTTGATATTCAAATTAAAAATGTGCGCTGCAATTGAAAATCCCGTCAGTTGTGAGGTGCGGTCTGTGATACGGTTTTTGTTGTCAAAAAATCTAAAACCTATGGAAATTTATCGGCAAGTAAGTGAAGTGTGCAGAAACAACGTAATGAATGAAAGTTCAATCCGGAAATGGTGCATTCAGTTTAAAAATGGCCGAACTAATGTTCACGATGAAAAGAAGATGGATGCCCTAGCATTGTGACTGATGAACTGGTCACTAAAGTTGATGAAAAGATTCGTGAAAACTGCAGTTTCACAATAACAGAGCTTTTGCCTAGTTTTCCACAAGTTTCACGGACTTTGTTGTTTGAAATTGTCACACAAAAGCTAGGCTGCTGCAAATTTTGTGCAAGATGGGTGCCGAAATTGCTTACAGACCACCATAAAGGTCAGCGAATGGGGGTAGCTTTGACATTTCTGGAGGCCTATGACAGACATGGTGATTCATTACTGGATCAAATCGTAACTGGTGACAAGACGTGGGTAAGACACGTGAATTGCGAGACAAAATTACAGTCCATGCAGTGGGGGCACACAAGTTCCCCCAAAAGACCAAGAAAATGTTTGCAAACCTTGTCACCAAAGAAGATTATGGTGACTGTGTTTTGGGATAGGCAAGGTGTGCTTCTGATTGATTTTCTCGAACGTGGTGCCACTATAAATTCTGAGCAGTACTTTCAAACTTTGTGCAATTTAGGAGAGCAGTTCAAAACAAGCGCGGAGGAAAGTTGACGCCCAAAATTTTGTTTTTGCACGACAATGCCCGACGTTACACGACAAACCGCACTCAAGAACTCCTTAATTCATTCAAATGGGAGGTTTTACCTCATCTGCCCTATAGTCCCAATCTTGCACCTAGTGATTTTCACTTGTTTCCAAGAATGAAGAACTGGCTAGAACCACAGTGCTTTGACGATGACAAGGAGCTGCGGGTGCGCGCCACTGAGTGGCTGAGATCGCAGGCGACAGAATTCTATGACGAAGGAATTTCAAAGCTTGTCCACTGCTATGATAAGTGCCTCAATTTGTTTGGTGACTATGTAGAAAAGTAGAATTTTAATCGCTCTTCCTGATGCATGTAATATTTTTTTTTTCTTGTACTTAGTTTCTTTTTAATTCAAAAACGTTCCTTACTTTCTGAATATCCCTTATATTAAATTTTGTAATTTTTGGTGAGACATTTAAAAATTTATCTTGGAGAATTTTTTTCAGTTTGCATCAAGAATAATTCACTTGGTGAACTTAATTTATAGCAAACTATTTTCCTTTCCTTTTTCTTCATTATCCATGAGTGGAGAAAATGTCATGGTTCATATTTTCAAATAATTTTAACAAAGTGCATAAACCACATTCTTGTTATTACCGCTTATAATAAATAAGTAAAATTTCAAAATGCGCCTAAATGTAAATTCACATATATCTTAGGATTTATTCTTAGATTTTAAAAAACAGCAATTTTTTGCAGGTTTGCTTAGAAATACATCTACTTTAAGATAATGGCTATACTTACAGGTTATAATTCAAAATGTTTTTCAAAAATTTATAAACATTATTTAAAAATACATATTTTAAAAATAAATTATAAAAAGGAGGCAAATTTTATTTGGAACGAACCTAAATTTCGAAATATGAAAGGAAGAATAATAAGTTTAATAAAAAAAGAGATATTAATAAATATATATCAAATTCAATTACCATGGAAGAGCTAAAATTTTGAGAGCTAATTTTTTGTAAACTGCTAGTGCAATTTTTACAAAACTTGGCAATTTGGTATAATTTGAATCATAGAATTGAAAGATTAGTAGAAAAGTTACCATGTCATTTCAGAAGAAGTCCTATTTTATGTCAAAATGCCTGTATTAGAACAATGCTATATATATAAATCTAATACATATCCTAAGTCATGCTTTCGAGACATGAAAAACGCAAGTTGAATTTCGTCAATCGGCCTACTAGAATGGGAGATATGGAATTGTCTCCCCCCTTTTTTTGGCGCAGCGTACAATGCAAGTTTAATCTAGGTAGTGCATACATGAATCTGCATTTAAATTTAATAGTCACAGGCACTTTTGTACCTGTATTCATTGGTGCCGCATGAAGTGTATATAACTCATCTAAACTGAACTTTAACATGTATTTTAGAAACTCAAAATTTTATCACAGCACTCCCTATCTTTGTTTGTAAGAACTGTAAATACATTTCATTTCTGGCAGCATATACAAGCTTGCCAGACCACATGCAACCATCAGGTTGAGTATGGATGATCTAATCTTTGAATGATAATTGTGAGCAGTGTGTTCATGGTCGATATTTTTTAAAAATTTTATTTCTTATTTATAAATATATAATATATATAATATTTTAAAAATTTTATTTCTTATTTATATCATATTTAAGAACACATTACACATTTTTAATTCCTTAAACAACAATAAAAATTCAGAAAATGGTGGTTTTTCCACCAACTATTTTTATTCTCTATTTTAAATACACACACACACACACACAAAGTATATCTTGCCAAACTGGAGGGCGGGGGAGACTATGTATATTATTAAACTGAATTAATACAAGCAATAAAAACTTTTTTTTAGTCAATATTTGCCACTTTGTGGTAAATTTTAACAAGTGAGATCACTATACATGATAGGGTTACATACAGGTAAATTGCTAAAATGTTGTATGCTAATATAAGGAAATATGTAATTATAAAATAAAACCTGCCAGCAGTGATTCAATGTTGTTCAGAACGCTATGGAGGAGGGGAGATCAAACTTAAGATGCAAGACAAAATTCCATTTACGAATTTTCATCTGAAATGAACATCTTTGGTTCATTCTGTACTTCACGACAAGCTAACTTGAGAACACATACAAGGCTAGAACGACCTTTTCACGGCTTTTCAACCTGCTCTTCAAGTTATCCATATGCACCAAACTGCCTGTGGATATTCAACTCCTCCAATTTGTTGCACATTTGGCAATTTCTTGCCAAATCCAGCGTATTTAAATAATAATCTTTGTATGCGATGCAGCTGCAGTTTAAATTGGTAGTTCATTGCAGTGTAAAATGTACCAAACGTTATTCATTGTCTTAATTTATGGAGATTCTCCACTGTTATCTAAATGTGACATATATGAATTTGATTTAAAACTCGAATTGTTACTTGAAACAGAACAGTTACCAATATGTTCTTTGTAGTTTGGGTTAATTCCCCCCCCCCAAGAGCGTTTGCTTAATTAAAAGTAAAACATATAAATTTAGACTGGCAGTAAGTTATTTTCTCTTAATTTTTAAGAGTTTACACAGTTTGTTGCTTCCAAAACAGTGAACCAAGAGAACATTTTCAATTTTTATTTTCTAAAGACATTAATTTGATTATAATTTGCGATTGTTTAAAAGCTTCTGACTATATTTTATAGCAGACATAAAAATTATATCCTGTATTAATTGTCTCCTAAGACACGTTTTCAGTCATACCCAGACAGTAAGTCTTATACTATCTTTTTATTACCGTTTAAAATCAAAAATAAAATAAATAAATATAGTGGAAACTGAGACCTTCAAAGTGCAGTCTAATAACTAAAGAATTTACCATTAAAAACGTCTTTTGTTAGTTAAAAAAAAAGTGCAAATGTTCATAAGAACTGAAAAAAGGTATAACAACATTAAATGGTTAAGAAGTGCATTAATTGCTTTTAAGACATTTACTATATTAATGACTAGTTGCTTGTATTTAAAAAATAAATTAGAAGTTTTTATGAATAAAACATCTATGCACGACAGGGCATAAAAGGTGGATCTTCACTCAGGAGAATACACTGCTTTTACATCTCTCATTTTATAAAAAGCAGGCTGATTCAGCTCTCTGAGAACCCACAAATTACATTTTATAGGGTAGGACTGCCTAAGTTAGATAAAATCCATAAATTCCCTGGCTATTCCTTTTTTTAGATGGAATAATCTGCAATATTATTGACAGAGTTGCTTAAGCTGTGGAACACTGGTAGTGTGCAATGAATTTGTTTGTAATGACTACAAGCTCTGAACTGCATGGGAGTCTCTCAGTGTATTGCATATAAGAGGTCCTTTACCCTTATAATGCTCCCATGATGACATATCTTCCTTTAAACAGAAACCCTTGTTCCTTCTACCATAGTTAACTGTACTGATCAGTACTTCTGTATTGGTTAGGTGATTTGAATATGCCAAAGCACATAAGTGCTACCTGACTAAGGGGGTAAAATGCATTCATGGAGGACTTTTTAAAGGAAACAGGCTCATAATCATGTTACACATGGGAAAACCCACAAAAACAGGCTATGAAAGCCCACTTGTTTGGGTTCAAACAATGCCAAACTACCAGTATTCTAACTATCTTAACTATTTGGTTTCTAACTATCTTAACTAACTAATCTTAACTATTTGGCTACTGGTGGCTCACTTTCATATTATATTTTCAAAGGGATGGTAACTTGTATTTATAACTCTTTATCGTTCTGCCTTTTTTTCAATTTGTGGCCCTCGTATTTTTAATTTCTGGCTCTGAAAAAGGGCCTTTTTATTTTAACTGAGGTATTTAATCCCACTAAGATTATTGTTTGAAGAATCTGAGCTATCTGACTCATCAACATTAAATTTCATGCACCCAACAGTGTTTGTCCTCCATCAGAAAATCTAATTTCTATAGTTTTTCTTCTTCTGTTACGTGCCTCACACATTTAGCTCATTGCATAGGAGTCACCAAATTAATTCTCTTCTAAAAAAATTTATGTACTTTGTCTTTTTAAAAATTCTGTTTTCGGATTACAGTACTCCATACAAGTTCAGTTCACAACAATTTGGTGGTAAATGGAGCACAACATACATTAAAAACAAGAACTAAAAGTTCTGATTTCAATATATCAGCTTCCAAAGGAATATGTTTTTCTGTAAACTAAGTTTAATGTCTGCTTTCATTGCACTTGAAGAAGGAATATTTTCAGACAAAACGCTGTGATAAAGTGGATTATTCAACTCAGTTATACTTTTCGATTGCAGGTTAGGCAGGAATTTTTTTCAAACCAATTTTTATAATATTCTGCATTCATTTCCCCATGATAATCTCCTTTCTTTTTCTTAGCTTTAGATATATCACATGCTTCATGAATAAATCCATGGAGCGAATCTTCAGAAACTTCTATTCATTGTGAGCCTTCTCCTGAGGAAGCAATTAAACCTGGTAAAAGACCGTTCAAAAAGGCTCTCTAAGCACTTTGGGACTAAATTTTGGTTTTGGAATGCACAAAATTTAACCAACTTTCATCAGTGTAATAAATTGTCCTACGCTGTGAATGATATTTTTTTTTATATCTCTTAGACATCTGTGCCTCCAGCATTGAATATTGTCACATTCAATCAAAACTAACTGGCGTTTTCGTTTTCTGCATGCAAATCCTAAATCACTCATCATTGCTAAAGTTAACTCACCATATCGTTTGATTTGTGTTTGCGAACTGACTTTCAGAGCTCGTTTTTTACCTGGAGTCAAAAATCCACCATTTTCTTTCAATTTGGATTTCATGTGACTTATGCTTGTCACAGAAATGCCAGTCAAATCAGCAGTAAAAGTAACAATATGGTTATCGGATTTATTAGGAAAATGCTCCCGTAATTTGACAAAAACATTCATAATGATAATGTTAATGGAACTGCGCTCTGGCTTTCCAGCTTTAAAAGAATGAAAATTATACATATGTTGAAGATGAAGCAGATGCCATAACAATAGCTTTTTTCTCCTCCCAGTCAGTGAATGAATGAATGCTTTAATTGCTTTTCTCATCGAGAGAGGGGTGAGGTTGGGGTTGCTGAAATTTGCAGTTTTGTCAATAATGCCAAAAAAAAAGGCGATTTCTTCTTGCTAGTCATTGGATGACTCACATGATTTAGCAAATTTTTAAATAGAAAACATGGATGCAATGTAATCTATCTACACATTTATTTCCTTCTATTCTCTTTTTTCAAGAGTACTCATATTTCAGAGCACAATATTTACAATGTTACTTCTTGAAATGGTAGAACTATATTCTACGGTGGGCGCATATACACTCTCTATTATATCCAGGTTCTCAACTTAGGTTGACATGTAGTACAGTGAATGGAATCTGATCATTAACCTATTATTTAGATATTGTTAGTTGATATCAGATATCAAAATATTTTGAAAAGTATTTAAAAGCAACAAATCTCTTTTCAAATCTTAACTGACCTATACAAATAGATCATATAAAAATAAAATAATTTAAGGTCAGATAAATTTAATATTACATAACTGTACACATACATAAACTTGATAAAATAAATCTTAAATTGAATTACCTGACTTTCACAGCTCCTATGAGGAACAGTGTACTTTCTTAAGCTTTCTGTAAGGCTAACAATTTTCTGCTCATATTTTTCTTCAATTTCCAGTATCTGATTTTGTTTTTCATAAATGGATTTATTCAGTTCAGAAATCTGAGATTGTAATTTTGAAATTTTCTCTTGATGTTCTTTCTCGAGCACAGAAACATGCTTCTGGTACTTTTTTATTTTGTCTCTGAGCTTTTTCTCCAAGTCTTCAGCTGATTTTAATGCTTCCTTTGCTATAAATTCATAGTTTTGATATTCAGTTTTTTCTTTTTCCCATACTTCTTTCTGATGCAAAAGATCATTATTTAATGATTCAAGCTTATTTAGTCCTTCATATTTTTGTGATAAGTTATCCTGAAAAAATATTTAAATGAAAATAATACTAAATAAATTTTAGGTATTTGTATTCACATTACAAGATTTAATTTAATACAATGCAATTCTGAATAATTTAAATCTAGAAACAAGGATATTAAATACATTCCAAAATTACTTCAATATCACTTCTACTTGGAAAAACCTATAAACATACTTAATTCAATTTATTTCACTAAAATAAAATAAAGAGGGGGAAGAGAAGGAGGAAATAAAATATAAAATTATAACAAACCACATAAGTAACAGATAAAAATCTGGCTAAAAAAATTAATATATGAGGAGGACAACAATAATAATAAAACTATGACAAATCACGTAACAGATGAAAATATGGCTAAAAATTAATATAATGATCTTGAATATGATAATCACTTGATAATTACAGCATAATTTAATCTGAATGTTAAAGGAATTCTCACAGAATATTTAATTTTCTTAATCATTGTTAAAGGAAAAATTAAATCCACTTAAAGAATCACGACTATGCTTTGCAAGATATCATTTGTTTACACAACAATTGCTCATTTTTAAAATTTGTTAAGAAGTAGGGTATAATTGCAATGTTTCAAAGCAGTAATGAAGGTCAATAGATGCAGATGTATACATTCATTGTATCTACAAAAGTCCTTACCCAGCTTTAATTTTTCCAACCATTGGTTGTAGACATATACTTACTTACAATTACAAAAAGGCATTTTTAAATTTAAAGAAAATAATTTTGTAAAAACTATAATATTGAACTTTTCACATGTTCTTCTGGTTCCTAAATTTATATTTAGGAAAAAAATTATACTCCTTATAAGAAAGAAAACTCAAAAAAAGTTTGACTCACATACTGAATTTACTAAGATATTTGAGTTTGAAATAGAGAATCATATTCAATGCACATAAACAAATTAAAGAGTGAAATTTTTGCATTTGCAATTAAAATATAAAATATCATTTAGAAAAAAGTGTTTGATGTAAAGAGATTACATGTCAAACATTCCTATTGAGGTTATTGGAAAAAATATTGATCAATATATTTTTTTTTCAAAAAGGAGATCTTATTCACAGAACGTTTGTTCTAGAAAATACCGGCAGGTTTCAGTATCAGCAAGCAGCTAACTCATAATATTATTAGCATTAATTAAAAATGAAAAATATTTATATGTTAAATTTTTTTTACGATTATAAGATTATGATTGTAAAGTAATAAAACTTCATATAAATATTAATAATGTAACTTTAAAAATTATTTGTGTGTAAACTCTTTCGGCATTCTAGGTGTAAAAAAAATTATAAATTAAAGACATTAATAAATCACAAAAGAGTATCATTAAATGGCATCTAAGGAGAAAAAAAAAATCAACCTCGAATTGTTTTAATTTATTTACTAATCGACTCCCCCAATGTAAAGTGCATATGAGGCTAGAAATGGCAAACTGGACTTAAATATCTTGGTCATACAGGAATAAAATATTTTGTGTTTTATTTTTTCATAAGGAGTAAAACATTTTCCTGAATATAAGTACAAGGACTGCAGAAACATATAAAAAGTTAGACTTCGTAATTTTCACAAAACTGATCTTTTTAAATGTAAAAATGCAAAAACATCTTTGCATCATTTAAAAAATTTTGGTTACTGGAAGTATATGTCTATGATTTACAGTTGCAAAAATAAATGCCAGGTAAAGACTTTTGTAAACATGGTGTATATAACATTGCTCTAATTTATACAATTTGACACGAAATCAAACGTTTTTGACATGATACATCAATTTTTTCCCACAGTTTTATTCCACATTTCAAATTATGCAGGAATATTAAATTTTATAATAATCATAGATGTCATTTCCATGATATTCGCATTTAAAGCTTGCTGTAATTTGTTTCCATCGCTCCAGTGAATGGCAGTGAGTTAAGAAAAGGTTCTTTTAAAATTCCATTTATTATCAAATACAATTTGACACACAGGATATATCAAAGATTAAAAATTTCAACTTAATATATAATTAAAATGTCTCAGTATAAGTGAAAATATAAATATGCATGGAAAGTACATTTTAAATAGATTGGAATTCATTAATCTTATTTTTACTTTTTAATTGTTTTATAGTAATGTATGAAATTTAGTGACATAATACTTATCACTATAGCCTTTATTTATGTTTTATTACAGCAATGTAAAATTATATGCAATAAATGTTAACAGTTAATAAATGTGTATTTCATAGCAATCCTCTCCCTAAGGAAAATTTTACAGCTAACTTTTGATTTAATTTTGGATGCAGATGCTAGTATACAAAAGAATTATAACTACAAATTTTGCAATTGGTAAATAAAGATTTTTACTTAGAGCGTTACAAACATTTGCTTAGGGCAGCAGTCTCCAACTGGCAGCTAATTAATTAGACAGACAATGCAAAATATTTACAAACAGAATAGGACATAGATCTAATTTTTTGACTAACTATTCATATGTATCAGTCAATATTAAAATGTAAAGCAGTATAGACCATAATATAATGATGTTTAAAATAGTAATATTAGATAAAATACCAACCTTTAAATTTTTAATTTCATTTTCCAGACTTAAAATTTTACTTTCAAATTCAAATCTAATAGATGTCATTTCAAGCTCATGGTTCTTTTGAATTTTACTTATTTCTTTTTTCCAGTTAGACTGCATTGTTTGATTCAATGTTGAACTAAACTTTTCTTTTTCACCTTCATATTGTTGCTTCAAAACACTAAACTTTTCTTCATATTCTAACTGCAATTTTTCTTTCTCTTTTGCCAACTGCTCTTGAAAAGTTGCTTGTTCCTGAAAGCAAATAGAGAAATTAGAGAACAAACAGACAGCAATACAGAACTATGAAATTACAATTTGCCTGACCATTTGAAGAAGGTGGGATTACTTTTTGGTCTATAATTTCAATGCATATTTTTTAATTTTATTTTAGATGTAAAGACATATGACAACATATTTATAGTACAGTTCCAATAATTCAAACCCGTAGAGCAATATTTCTTAACCTGTATTTTGGAAAAAATTATGAAGAAAAAGCAAAGTTTGTCTGCTTTTATGCATTTAACATAATTTAAAACAACTTTTAAAAGAAATTTAAAGAGAAAAAATGAAATAAAGTGGTTTTAATCACAATAATAAATTTAGTTATGTAGCATGTTACCAGATGACTTATGCTGCCAGTGAAGTATATGGAGAATGCACTTTTATTAGCAGTTCTTTTCTGATTTCAGAAGTAAAGAAGTGTTCAGTTCTACTTTAATGTTTTAAAAGCATTTTCTTTGGACTTATTTCTTTTTTATCATTTCATCTTCTTTTTAAATTGCTAAGAAAATATAAAATTTTTATTAATACAAATTAATAATGTAATGTTTTTCATTGTTAAAGTAATACTGTTTTAAAAAAGTGAATATCGATGTTTTCCTTTATGATAGCCACATACTATCAAATTTACCTTGTTACTTTGCAGTCACATTCTATAATAAAACAGCCTTAAATTTTATCTGAAATTTGACTCAAACTTTTTTATTAGCTACGATTAAAAGGAGTTCAAACATTGGCCTTGTTTTTATGCTTCATAGAACTAACTGCTAATTTTGCCATCAATTACCATCAACACATTATCCTATAAGTAATTTAGTCATCATATATCACAAGTCTGTTTGTTTTACTGGTATTTGTACAATATGTGTATAATAACAGCACTGAAGAGTATGTACGTTTGTGTATGCTTCCAATTTAGAGCAACTGTAGATGATATATGTAGAATTTGACTTGATTCACAGCATGAGAGCACGAAGTAATATTTAAATGGTTTATTTAATAGAAAGAAATAAAAGTATATAAAGAAAAGTATATAAAGATGAAGTTAACGGTATGCAGGATTAACATAATGATGTAAAGGCATAACATCGAAAGCGCAATTAAAGTTCATAAACTCTTGAAGACGTGTGAGCCGTCTGCTCACGTCTGCCATCCACTCTCGACCAGGTCTCAGCGCTGTCTCGGATGATTCTTACTGCGCTGGGCTGTACTAATGACGTCATCTGGTATTCTAATTCGGCATTGGATGTTGATGACTCCCACAGCTTCGGCCAGCCTGAAGAGGCATCGTCCTCGATGTCTGTTGAATGGACATCACTATCATGTACCTGCAAAGATAATACCTGCAAAGAAAGAAAAGAAAAAAGAAGAGTATCAGGTCCTTAGGTTTTGAGCTGATACAAACATCAAAATCAATTTGAACCATGGCTTTTCATATGGTCAGCCGCAGTAGATGTCAAATTTGGTCCTTCATGGCATCCTACTTTCTTCGACTTCATATCTATCATTTGATCGAACAGCTATGATTTTATTATGATTTTATACGGTCCATGAAACTTAGGTCGTAGTTTCAAACCAGTCCCATATTGAGTTCTCTGAATGGCTACCAAGTCGCCAATCTTGTACAGTTTCGGTTTCTTTCGTTTCTTGTTGAATTGTTTACGATTCTCTTCTTGTATCTTCAAAATGTTGTTTTTCGCATCTTCTCTCATTTCATCATGTTCTTGCATCAATTGTTTTAGATATTCTTCATTCAATATCTCACTAATTCTTAAATTTTATTTGTTCTTCATTTTCGTGCCTATGAGAAGCTCAAACAGTGAATATTTCGTACTTCTCGTAGTTGTACTGTTGATTATTCTCTGAACATCTGGAACATATTTAAACCATTTCGTGAATCTTCATGTGATAATTTTGACAAAACAGGAATCAAAATTCTATGAATTCGCTCAATCTTGTCCGTTACCTCTTGGAATACCGGTAGTAATTTTGACATGTTCTATTCCTTCTTCAGTACAATAAGCTAAAAATTCTTTCGATGCAAAAGGCACTACCTCGATCTGAAATGATTCTGGCTGGATTTCCAAATACAGTCTGTTGTTGCTTCAATTTTGAAATAACCTTCTTGTGTAGTTGGTGATTTCACTGGATAGAACCAAGTAAATTTCGTAAAAAAAGCGTCGACAACAGTTAGAAATGTGTTGGTATCTCTTGTTCGTCGATGGAAGAGGTCCAATAAAGTCGATATGATACGTACTCGAGGGAACGTTTTCTTTCGGTACAGGATGAAGAAATCCTTCTGCTTTTCCTTGCTTCTTGTTGTACAGTATACATTCTATACAGTTAGCAATTACTCTTTCAACTTTTGCATTTCAGTCTGGGAATATAGAATTCTTGCTTCTACAGCATTCACAGTTTTATCTACAGCAAAGTGACCCTTTTTTATGTACCTTCTGTATGATTTCATTCTGTAAGGATTCTGGCACTACTAGAAGATCTTTACCATTTTCAAATTTGTACAAAATATCATTTCTCACGAAGAATCCATTTTCTTCTCCCTTCTCAACTAAATTCTTGATTAATTTCACATGTTCATCTTCATTCTGTTGTTGAGCTAACCGAATCTTCTCAGTTACATCGGATGTGTATGATGTTAAAATTAAAGCATTTCTACTTAAAGCATCAGCATGTTTCATTTGGCTTCCTGAACGATGTACAATTTCGTAATCGAATTCTTCAATAAACATTGCCCATCTCGCAATTTTAGGAGTTAAATCTTTCTTATCTAAAGTTTTCTGAAAAGCACTACAATCAGTTACAATTTGAATTTAGTCCCTAACAAATAGTTTCGAAATTTCTTCAGAGCTTCTATTACTGCAAGGGCTTCTAATTCGTAACTACAGAGTTTCTCTTGCTGCGGTGAAGTCTTCTTACTCATATACTGGATTGGGGTGATAATTACCATCATCAGACAATTGGAGTAATAAAACCGCACCAAAGCCTTGACTACTAGCATCAGTATGAAGTTCTAATGGATATCCTTTGCCTAAATATGTGTAGAACAGGTGCCTGAGAGAGAATTTCTTTTAATCTGCAAAAAGCTTCCTGTTGTTCGGAATCGAACTTAAAAACCAATACCTTTTCTAAGTAAGTCACTAAGAGGTTTAGCTATTTTAGCATACTGAGGAATGAATTTACGAAAATATCTCGTTTAGTCCTAAAAAGTTTTGTAGTTGTTTACAGTTACGCGCGGTTGTGGAAAGTTTTCGAACAGCAACAGTTTTGGAAGGTGATGGTTCGAATAGTTCCGTTTTCAATTACATGTCCCAAAAATTCAATTTTACGTTTTAAGAATTGGCACTTTTTGAAATTTATTTGTAATCCATACTCCGAAGCAGTTTTGAATACTCTTTCTAATTTGTCTAAACATTCAACTTCATCATTAGCCGGTATGACTATATCATCCATATATAATAATTAGTACACCTTCATTTAACAAGTCACGAAATACTGAATATAAATGTACCTTTGAAAAACATTTGGACTAATACATAAACCAAAAGGAGCTTTAAGAAATTCGTAGATACCATTATGTGTTACAAATGCGGTATATTTGGTGCAATTTTCGTCTATGTCTACATGGAAAAAGCCATTTTTCAAATCTAGTGTCGTGAAAACTTTTGACTGTTCTAAGCGATCAAGTACTTCCGGAATTAAAGGCAGTGGAAATTTGTCTTTAATAATCTTCTTATTTAATTTCCGATAATCTATACATAAACGTTTCGAGTTATTACGCTTGTTACATAACACAATAGGCGCCGAATAATTAGAATTGCTAGGCTTTATTATGCCCTCTTTTAACCATTCCTTAATTTGATCGTCAACAATTTTTTGTTCCGCGAAAGACATGTTTCTTCTATTTTGACAGACAGGAATATCATCGCATAAATTTATTTGCATCTTGAAGTCAGATTGTCTATTTTTCCGAGGCTGGTAAGAATTAATTAAATTACACAGTCTTTCTTTATGTTCTACATTCGAAATATGCGATAAATCAATCTCGTTGACAGAAATAGCATTCACCAGATGTGAAAGGTAATTAAACGTCGAGCTACTTCCGCTTTCGGGACTTTTGTTTACATTAACAGAGACGCCAGACGATCGCGAAGGATCATAAGCATTCTTCAATGAGATAGCAATATTCAAATTTCCCATAACGCAACGCACGTTAGAATTTTGAGATGACTCAGCAGTTATCAAGTTTACATTACTTTTATTCCGATGAGAAATTATTTGAAGGCCATTCTCGGTAAAAGAGAAGTTAAACTGACTCAATACATCCAAACCTAATACAATTTGATTACATAATGACTTAACAACATAAATTTTCGTACGAAAGTAAAAAACTATCAATTGAAATATCAGAAATGAAAAAGCCGATGGGGTACGTTTGCTTTTCAATTCCGTTTAATGTGATATCGCTACAATTTAAATTAGGAGAACCAATCTGCTTGTGTAACTCTACGCTGCATATCGTTACATCTGAACCAGTGTCAACTAAACTATTAACTAAATGATTATTTATTTCTACAGTCTTCATAATTCTATTCTTGTCACAAATTCGTTGCAATAAAGCTGCTTGATGTGTCTCGGGGGTCTGCTCTGGACAGTTTCGTTGAATAATGCCCGAACTTCTTACATTTTATACATTTTACACCCTTTGATTTGTTTACACAATGCTTAGAATAATGCCCTAATTCCTGGCAATTAAAACATTTGACCTTATTAACGTTAGATTGATTTCGGTTTGATGACGAAAGCTTACTTCTATCTTTAACTTGAGTGTCTACTTTCGGTTTCGGATTTTTAAACTTATCATTGTCCGATCTCATTTTATCATAAATTTTAAGCCTTTGTTTAAATTCAGATATTGTTCCGCAACCATATAGTATAGTTTTCCTAACCACAGAATC